TAAGTTCATGTCCTTTGCAAGGACATGGATGAAGCTGGAAACCATCATTCTCAGCAAACTGACACAAGAACAGAAAACCAAAAACCTCATGTTCTCACTTATAAGTGGTTGTTGAACAATGAGGACACAGGGAGGGGAACATCACACACCGGGGCCTGTTGAGGGGTGGGAGAGCTAGGAAACGGATAGGAGGGGGTGGGGGCATTGGGGAGGGATAACATTAGGAGAAATACCTAATGTAGATAACAGGGGGATGCAGTAAACCACCATGGCATGCGTATACCTATGTAACAATCCTGCACAACTGCACATGAACCCCAGAACTTAAAGTATGATTTAAAAAAACAAACAAACTTAAAACAGAACTACAATTTGACCCAGCAATACCATTGCTGGGTATATATTCAGAAGAAAACAAATAGTTTTACAATAAGACACATGTATTTGTATGTTTATCGCAGCACTATTCATAATAGTAAAGACACGGAACCAACCTAGGTGCCCATCAACAGTGGACTGAATAAAGAAATTGTGGTACATATATGCCATACTATGCGGCCATAAGAAAGAATTAAATCACATCCTTTGCGGCAACATAGATGGAGCCAAAGGCCATTATTCTAAGAAAATTAACACAAGAAAAGAAAACTAAATATAATATTTTTTACTTATAAGTGGGAGCTAAACACAAATATAGGAATAATAGACACTGAAACTAGATGGGGGAGGCAGAGAGAGGGTCATGGGTTGCAAAACTACCTACTAGGGATTCTCACCCGTGTGACAGGATCATTTGTACCTCAGACCTCAGAGTCACACACAATATACCCATGTAACAATCTGCATATGTACCCCTCAATTTAACAGTAGAAATTATCTTGAAAACTGCCGTCATTTCTTTCTCCTTAATTTTCTAATAGTGCCAAAGACAGAATTGGTCCTCCTATTTTACAGGGCTGTGGTGAAGATTGAATAGTATAAGGAAGAATACGAAAAGCTGCTTCAATATTGAAAAGCATATTCCAAGAAGGATTGTTTTTATTTCTGTCACCCCCTTCTCCCACCTGGAAACCTCTAGCTCTCCCGTTGCCTACAGAATAAAAGTAATCCAAGTCCTTAATTTCAAATCTCTCCTTATCGCACACTCTTCCCCTTTCCCAAATGCAGCCTGACACCCCCAAACTCTGTCATCCCCATCCACCTTGACAGAGTTATGAATCCCAATCTGTTATAAGCCTTTTTTGTCAATTCCATGACTGGACTATAAGCTCCATAAATGCAGGTGCTTTTTTGTTCACAAAGTAGGATGTGCGTTTATTAAATGTGTGTCAGAGTGAATGTGTGTATCTTCAAATGCCCTCAAACCTACTACCTTTGACTATAAAACAGATGAATGAATAGAGGAATAAGAGGTTTCTGCTTCATTGTCTTAAAATTTATTACTTGCCATCTATTCCTAATGAAATATTAACCGTTCTTTAACATCCACCCTAAATTTCACCTTCTTCAACCTGGAAAGAATCTTTCCATTCCCTGGGACCTCACAGTGCTTTGCACCCAGTCCACAACACTTACCTCAAGTCCCATTACATTTGAAGAGTTTGTGTACTTTATACACCCCCTCCATTAGATTGAAAATCTTGAAGGCAAAGGATATATCTCATAACCTCTGTATCTCTTACAGCACCTAGTAGACATAATAGTTGATAGATCATAGTTGATAGGTGAACATATTTCATGTTGATTAGTTGCATTCAAAAACACCTGATTTCCTGTGGCAACCAAGTCAGAACTTCCAGTTTGGCCACTTACATAACACTTGGATCAACCAGTCAGCAACTACACAGAGAACATCTTTCCTGATTTTCTCCTCATCTCATGGGAGGCTTCTCTGGCCCCTGACTCACATTGAAATGCAAGTGTACTCCTAACTCAGACCTCCTTTGGCATTGTCCATCCTACCCTCCTGAACGTGTATCCCTGGGTCTCTGGTCTCTGAGTCACTTACCAGCTAAGCTACAGCTACCTGCCTTGGAGCACATCTGCAGGTGTCCGGAGATTCATGTGTCTTTGGTCTAGGCAAGGCCTTGGGCATCATTCTGGGGAATGGTATCAGACATTCTTGGATCTTGGACATGCTTGGTGCAGATGGGTATATACATCAGTGATTCATGAACAGTCAGGAATTAAAGTTCTTCTCTCCCCCCAGGAAAGGTCGCTTTGCTGAATTTTCTTCCTTCTTGGTTGAACTATGAATTGACACATTTATTTTAGCTGCCTCCTGGCTTGATCATTTTTCAATTACAGTTTGTCCGTGCAGTTCTAGCAGAAGGTCAATGTGGGTCTCTTCCTGATCATAGATCCACATTTATAAAACCCTAATTAGGCATTTCCTTTAGCTGCTGTCATAGATTCCTTGGTGGAAAAATTCTGCAGGCATAAGCCTCGTATGAGCTAAAGGATTGTTTACGTGCCCAATTAGGAGCTCACTGAGGCAGCTCCCAGGCATTCCTACCTCTGACTCTTGGCTGAGGCTGTTCTTCACACCAACAATGCTCTCCCTGTTCATCTTGGAGAATATGAATCTTGCCATCTTTTGTGACCCATATTAAAATGAGATGAAATGTGTCCCTTTTAAATTACCACAATTTTGCTTTTTTTTTTTTTTAGTATTCTGTGTGACAAGGGTACAATGCATAAGCTCTCACACACTCTATGAGTAGGAGTATAAATAGGCGCAACCTTTGCAGAAAAATTATACTGATAATATGTATCAAGAGTCTGACTCCAGCCTTTGACCCAGTAATTCCATTTCCAGGAATCTTTCCTAAGGATATAATCAGAAATGCAAACAAATATTTATACACAAGAAATTTATGACAGCACCTTTCATAATAGCATAGTGACATAATTTTGGAAATAATTAAGTATAGTATAGCCATGTTATACAGCTACTTAAAATGAAATTTCTGAAGGCATTCTAGTGCCGATTCTAAATGAAACATGCAGACTCTCAAGTTGTTATGCAGTGTGATTCAAACAGACCTTTCCCAGCTGTTGTTTCACAGTATGTTTATAGGAATGCTATAAATAGGAAAGTTCCATTTTTCAGTAAGGTTGAAAAGTTACTACAGTTTCAGAATCACTGTTTTTATGCCAGGTGTCATGGGGGCTGTCGTTCAATGGAGCACACTTTGGAAGAACTGGAGAAAAAACACCTAGGAAAAAAATGGGATGCTGCTACTGTTGAGTTATAGAACTACTAATTCTCTGCAATTCTTTCATTGTCCTACAAAATTTCTAAGTGTTGTAAATGAGATAGTGCCAGGGGATGTGGATTGCCGTAATGTATAGCACACAGAGAGGACGGTCACTGTGAGGGTGGTTATGGACGCCAGGATGGCGGAGGCCCTGAGTGCTGTCTGGTTGGTTCTCTGAGCTCTGCGTTCATTCTGCAGGGCATGGGATATGGTCATGGTTACCGCACTGTCACCCAATTCCTCCCCACCCTGGGCCTGACCAGGGGTTTCCAGATGCCTCTAGATATTCCCAATATCCTCAGGATGTGAACCATATTCCAATTTACCTCTGTTGCTTGGCAATCCTTGATTGCAAACCCCAAGCCCAGGGTACTTCTACCTCTTTAGGTTGGGTGCTTGATTCAAATATTTAGTTCTCTATTATTCTATTGGCCCTGTACTCTGTCTTCAGGTCTGCCTGTGTGCCACCTGTATGTCTTGGGGTCACTCCAGCCCACTCACAGGCCTAGTTTGAGAGTCCTGCACCTAGCCCAGGGTTTGATTCAGGGCATCAAGCATGAGGGGAGTGGAAACTGGGTTGGGCCTCTCACTGACTATAACAGAACTTCAGAGAGATCTGCCTGGACCCCTCCTGCTTACCTTCCAAAGTCCCCCAAAATATTCATCAGGCTTTTTCAGACTAATGGGCTTCAAAAGGAGCAATTTTCTGAGACATGAGACAGGACAATATAAAAAGAACATTAAGGGAAAAAAAAATCTTACTTCAAAATGAAAGGAGAAAGATTATTTAGCATCCCTGTTGGTGTTATCTATTCATGAGAAATAGCACATTTAATTCAGCATGGAATTATAGGGAGGGCTTTGATGCCCTCACCTTGGGGTTACCTTCATTCAGAACTCATCTGTCTCCTCTGCCACAGATGGCAGAGTCGATGGAGATAAGAGGATCAGATGAGACACATTTCAGAGGTGGCCTCCACAGGGCGCAGGGGGATTAGAGGGAGTGTGAAGGGGAGTCTAGCATGACTCCCAAGGCACTTGCTTAGGGATGGGACAGACGGTGGCATCATTCTCCAGTCTTGCCACCTTTCATGCTTCCCACCTCCCTTTCCCAGACATTGCCATCTTGGTTTCTGTCTGTCTGAGTTCAGTCCCCTGAGGTTAATTGAGTCCCATTGTGACTCTATTCCAGCCCCCAGCATCTCCACCAATCCAGTAAGCTGGCTTCTCTAGTCCTGGACATTTGTGGGTTCCCAGAACAGAGGGTTTGGAGCTTAAACAACTTGTGTGGGGATAAAGGGAGATCCTTGGTTCCTGATCAGCCTAGCACTCATCAGAGCCAACTGGCAATTTTGACACAAGATACCCAGCCCTGAGACCAGGAGTCTAGGGTGCAAAGTATGTGAGAGGGTGCCTTGCATCAAGTCGAGGCCAATAGGACCCACTTGTGTTTCTTCTCTGTCTCCCCAGATGCACCAAGATAAGGCTTGAAAATCTCCCCATCACCCACTATCTGCCTGATGGTTGGATTCTTGGGTGTTTCTCTTTCCCACAGTTTGCTCCAGCATGTTTGATGATGAGCTTCTATAACTTCAGTGTATGTCAAGTGTTATATTCCTTGAGTGCTTTGCAATAAAAATTGTTGAGCTCAAAGTGTCGTTCCCCTTTCACACCTAGAGTGAAAGCCTGTTTGATGTTTTATTGTATATTCAATTTTAAATGTTGCTTCTCTTTCATTAGATTTGTGACAAAGAGTGGCACTACTATGTCATCAATGTGGAGTTTCCTGTGGTAACCTTATACATGGATGGAGCAACATATGAACCGTACCTGGTGACCAACGATTGGCCCATTCATCCATCTCACATAGCCATGCAACTTACGGTCGGCGCTTGTTGGCAAGGTAATCCTAAGTGAAACCCTGTTCCCTGATCTGTTTGTGAACAGTTCTTGAAAAATACTGGTAGAGAAAAAGGAAAAGAAAGTGATATGAGAATAGGCTAGAAAAATTACTATCCCTTACAAAAAAAAATACAGGACATATAAAAATAAGTATATATCTACAAACTAAATGTATCATACAATAACAAGCTTAAGCTTTTTGTTTTGATTTGAGATCAACATGGGCAGTTTAATGGTTGCCTCTAAGGTGCTAATGTCTTTTATTGTTTTGAAGTCTTATTCATTTCCAAACTGGGTCTACACAGAGAAAAAACTGAGTATAGAATCCTGTGTCAAAACTTCTAGTTGGCTCTGATGAATGCTAGCTTGATCTGGAACCAATGATCTCCCTTTATTCCCACACAAATTGTTGAAGCACCAAACCTTTTGTTCTGGGAACTCACAAATGCCCAGGGCTATGGAAGGCAGCTTGTCCACAAGCCATGAAGCCACAGAAAGCCACTGTTAAAGTCAGTTCATCTAAGGACAGAGGCACTTTATGCCTTCCCACTTGAAGGTGTCTGCCCCTCCTCTCTTCCTGTGCTGTTGCCACTCTCCTAATCCCCAAACCCAGGCTAATCTCCTCCTTGGGATCAGGAAACCCAGCTTTCCAAGCATACATGTAATCTTTCTGTCTCTCACTGAAGTCTGCTGGAGTCTTTGTTTCAGCTCCTTTAAGGGATGGGTATGCTTTGAAGTACCAATAAGAGCAGAAGGAAATGAAAATGCTCCCCAAATAAGCAGATTAGTACTCTGAGATATGACACAAGCTTGTGTTGATAGATTCTGTGAAAATTACCAAGCTTTGTGACTTTGACTCTTCACCATGAGGGGCTGGGGATAGAGATGGGCTGTATTATAAGAATATGCCTTCAGAAGACCCACTGACCTAAGAGGGAACTAGGACAGACACATGCCCCTGTAGGTTGGACAAAGTGAGTTCTGGGCAGCTCCACATAAAAGAAGATGGAAAGGAGTGTATACACTGGTGCCCAGAAGCACCAGAGATTCCAAACCCAGGAATGGGATAAGGTATAAATGAGGCAAGAAAAGAGAAATTGTTTTTGAGCTGAGCCCACCTACTTGATGTGACATGTGTCACATTATAGCAAAATGTTTATCAAATATTTCAGTAGAGCTTGGTAATTAAAACATCTTCAGCTGCAGGCTTCCCAGAATGCCAGGTAGGCTGGGTCACTTGGCAAGAATTCATGAAACTATTTAGTAATAGTGAGGCACTGATTCAAAGGTTGCACAGGAATCAATAACCACTGAACACAACTATGTTAGAGAAATGGCCCCCTGGGGTGGCTTAGTGCCCGGCCAGACACTACAACCGGCCTGTGGGTGTTATGGAACATTGCCTGGACAGTGCGTGTAAGAAGAAACTGCCCTAATCATGTCTGCTTCCATGAACCTGACCATGATTCTTCTCAAGAGCCCCTCAGAAACCACATCCAAATCCCTGTTACCCCAGTTTGCAGTGGAAACCTGTCCCCATTATCTGCAAGGCCAGCTACAGCAACTGCTGCTGAGTTACATGCCTACTGCCCAGAGTGCCAAGTAGCCCCACAAAATAAAACGTGATTTTAGAGAGAACTGAAATCAAGAATAAGCTAAGTTGCACTGCAATGACAACAAGCCCCAACTCTGAGTTCCTAAAATAATTCTCACTTCATATTTACTGAAAATCAATGAGGGCTCTTTTCTGCTTTATCCTCAGTTGGTAGACAGAGCAGACACACTGCATGGCTGCATACCTAGCAAGAGGAAAAGAAAACATGGAAAACTGTAAACAAACTCCTAGAGTTTCCACCTACAAGTGACACCAATCATTTTTATTCATATTTCATTGGCAAGTCACAAGGCCACATCTAACTACATCAGGGCAGGAAACTGAAATGTACACTGTATCTAGAAAAAAAAATGTAAAATACTCTATTAACATTGATAAACACCATAGTTTGTCCACCAGGTCAACGGATTTTTATTTAGCTATCTTTTCCACATGGAAAATACTCTCATCCTTCCTTAAGTGGGACATGCCCAAATTCTCACCTCTTCCTGGTTCCAGCCTCAATGTCCAAGCTCTCCAAGTGATTCCAAGTGATCTCTTCATCATGGTGAGATGCACAGAGGCTTATAGCAGGCCAAGATGTAGCTGCATTTGATATGGAGACCTATATATGAATAGGACAAATTACTTTCCACCAATGCAACCACCATGCCCTCCCTGCCAACACACACACATTCATGCATGTACAGATGTGCATGTATGCACACACCATACAACAGTAGACTGAGGCAGAACAACCAGAAAACTTTCATTAAGAAAATGGGGTAATTACAGAAATACAGCAGTCTTTGGTCCGCAGCAATTCTGGAATCCCTTGGGCCAGATGTTATAAGGATCCCTCCCTTAGGGTGGGAAATATTATTTGTGGCCCTTTATTCCATTCCCTCGAAGATGTTTCCTTCCTTAGTATCCTTTTAGGCCACATCTGGAGAGGGCAGTGTCACTCCATAAATAGCAGCACTATTATAATATATTATTATAATTTGTTTAAAAGCCATTCCAAAAATAATGATTTCAAACAGGAAATCCAAGTATACATCGATTTTCAAAGAATGTGGTAGAAAGAATGATGACAAAGGTGTTCACCAAGTACTTTTGGTTCTTTTTCCAGATATATGCTAGGATTGATCTTCCTTAGAGTTAGGTGTCGTCATGGGACTTGCTTTGGCCAATTAACTGTGAGCAGAAGTGCTTTATGTCATTTCCTTGTGGAAACTTTAAAAGGTGTTGTTGCCAGAAGGCCTTTTATACACATGGGGTGTTTACAGTTCTGAAAGAAAATGTTATTTATCACAATCTGTAGATAAGGCAACTGAGACTCAGAGAAAAGTTTACCCAAAGTCACTCAGTTGAACATGGCCAACCTCAAGCCTCCAGTGCCTATGCTTTTTTCACTGTCTCTCTATTGCTAATTGGTCCTTTTGCTTATGTAATTACGTTTGGAAAAAGGCAGGAGCTGATGTACACTGATATAAATGCTACAAACCCTTTACCTTCTGAGACATCTGACAACCCTGGAATACATTTTTGAAAACACACAAGAACGCTGCATTCCCCTTGCTAATCTTTTATTATATAAAACCTTGCTAATCTTTTATTATATAAAACCTAAGTGACCCACCAAGGAACAATAAAAAAGAGTTTCAGCTTTACAGTTAAAGAAAGGACCCTGAATCAAATCCCAGCCTTGCTGTCTACTAGCTGTGTGGACCCAACAGGATTCTTAGCTTCCTGGAGCTTGTAGTCTACTTTTAATCTCTGAAATAAGAGTAAGACCCACCTCACAGAATTCCTGTAAGGACTAGATGCTAGGCACATCTAGTGTACTTGGCACGTTTTGCTTGAATGATGGTGTAAATTTTAGAACATCTCCCTATCCCCTCCTCTGATCCTCTCATCTAAGACCAACATTGCAGACAGCCTGCAGGACCATAGCATGCTCTAGCTTCTGGCTTTCCCATGGCTCCTTGCACGCACTGACTTTTTTTCTCCTTCCTCAGGACTAACCCTCACATATAGACCCTGACCTCACAGGTTCACTGATGGTCAGAAAAGTAAACGAAGCTGGAAAATAGTCAGAAGACAAGTATTGGAAGGTGGGGCTTGAGACGTAGGTAGGAACCTGATCCTGCAATCTTTTGGGCCACTGGAAGATCTGAGTATTTTCTCTAGAGAAATGACAACCCATTGGTGAATTTTCAGCAGAGGAAAAATTCTTAAAATCTTTAAAATTAGGCTTTATAGAATGTATCACAGTTCACTAGGAAGGTAATGGAGGCAACACCATATGCTATGGCAGGGAAGTTGGGCACACATGTATTTGGGATTCCTTATCACTGGAATGTATGTGAACCAGCAGTGGAGTCTGGGAAAAGGAGTTGAGACTAAACCCTGGGACACCACACTTCTTTGTTAAAGAGCTTGGATTCCCACAAATACTCACACCCTCCTTGAAGCCACATTTTTGTCTTGGATGAACATATCAAAAGATCTTTTGATAAGACATGATGCTGTGAAATTAATGGCCTGTGATACAGCCCTTATCTCCGCATGCTTCTAAACCTTCTGAAGTCCACTTATGTATATAGTATAAGCGCTCTGTGTGAACCTCTAATTGCCTTTGGGCTTGCAATTGTGGGGAGTGTTTCAGGTGCTTTTGAGGTTGGCAAAGGAACTAGCTCCCATCTGTGGAACTTCCAATGAGGCTTTAACAATGGGAATTAGAAAATGGTTTGATAATAGCAGCTTATTGGGATCTCCTGAACTGGCTCTAGCACTGTGGCTGGGCAGTGTTCTGCAGCCCCAATTAGACTACTTGTCTGTTTAGCCAATTTGAAAGCCAAAATAATCACTGAAACTTCATTTCCATTGGTATTTATTCTAGCAATAAAAAAAAAATGAGACTTCATTTACACTTAAGAAGAACAGAAAATGAAACACCGCATATTCTCACTCATAGGTGGGTGATGAAAAATGAGAACACATGGACACAGGGAGGGGAGTACTAAACACTGGGGTCTATTGGGGGGAAAAGGGGAGGGTCAGTGGGAGGGGGAGGTGGGGAGGGATAGCCTGGGGAGAAATGCCAAATGTGGGTGAAGGGGAGAAGAAAAGCAAAGCACACTGCCATGTGTGTACCTACGCAACTGTCTTGCATGCTCTGCTCATGTACCCCAAAACCTATAATCCAATAAAAAATTTAAAAAAAAAAAAAGAAATGTTACCAGAAAGGCCTAGAGCAAGTAGCCTCTCTCTTCATTGTAGGGAAAGGTTTGTGCAATCGGGATGAACCTGGCATCACAAAAGAGGTCCCCTTCCTCTGTGTAGCTGTGGCTAGCGTGCACCTCTTTGCTATCACTTCTGCATCTAGGATAACGAAGTACTCTCAGGATGGAGTAAGACCCTCTCCCGTGGCTGAGCTAGATGCTCCTAGCTTTAGAAAAATACCAGGTTCCTTATTTCTCTATGGGTCACAAGGGAAAAAATCATTTAAAAGACTAAATTAATCTGTCCTGTTCCTTAGATTTCCTGCTTACCCCTTTTTTTTTTATTGTATTTGGGCGCTGGGGTACATGTGCATGTCCTGCATCCTGCAGGACTGCTGCATAGGTACATACATGCCATGGTGGTTTGCTGTCTCCATCCCCCCACTCCACCATCGCCTACGTCAGGCATTTCTCCAGGTGTTATCCCTTCCCCTCCTCCACACACCAGCCCCCCCCGCCACCCCCCCCCCGCCCCACCTAGCCCTGTGAGTATTGTTCCCTTCCCGGTGCCCAAGTGTTCTCATTGTTCATCACCTGCCTATGAGTGAAAACATGCAGTGTTTGGTTTTCTGTTCTTGTCAGTTTGCTGAGAATGATGGTTTCTAGGTTCATCCATGTGTCTACAAAGGACACAAACTCATCATTTTTTATGGTTGCATAGTATTCTATGGTGTATATGTGCCACATTGTTTTTGTCCAGTCTATCATCGATGGGCATTTGGGTTGGTTCCAGGTCTTTGCTATTGTAAACAGTGCCGCAATGAACATATGTGTGCATGTGTCTTTATGATAGAATAGCTAATAATCCTTTGGGTATATACCCAGTAATGGGATTGCTGGGTGAAATGAGATTTCTATTTCTAGATCCTTGAGGAATCACTGCACTGTCTTCCACAATGGTTGAACTAATTTACACTCCCACCAACAATGTAAAAGTGTTCCTTTTTCTCCACATCCTTTCCACCATCTGTTGTCTCCAGATTTTTTAATGACTGCCATTCTAACTGGCTTGAGATGGTTAGACAGAGTCTTGCTCTGTTGCCAGGCTGGAGCACAGTGGCACAATCTCGGATCACTGCAACCTCTGCCTCCCAGGTTGAAGTGGTTCTCCTGCCTCAGCCTCCTGGGTAGCTGGGATTAACAGGCACCCACCACCATACCCAGCTAATTTTTGTATTTTTAGTAGAGATGGGGCTTCATCATGTTGGCCAGGATGGTCTTGATTTCTTGACCTCATGATCTGCCTGCCTTGGCCTCCCAAAGTGCTGGAATTACAGGCTACTTATCCCATTTCTAAGAACAAAAATTCAAGTTCTACTCATAAACTATAAATATTATATACTCACATCTGCCTCATTTCTGGACCTCTAAACTGGGCCTGATCACCCAGGTACTATAACCCAACTGTGCAAGGGAGTGAGTCAGGCAGGCTGCCAGTTGTGCCAGACCAGTGCTTTGAGGGAGCCCTGGGGTTTCCAGGAAATGCTGCAGCACATGGAGGTCCAAGGCACTTCTCCCCATCATGACCAGAGTGACTGTTTTAACTATTTTGTGTTAGCCATTAATGAAAAGGCCTCGGAGGCAACACAACATATCTACAACCATCCGATCTTTGACAAACCTGAAAAAAACAAGCAATGGGGAAAGGATTCCCTGTTTAATAAATTGTGTTGGGAAAACTGGCTAGCAGTGTGCAGAAAGCAGAAACTGGGCCCCTTCCTGACACCTTACACTAAAATTAACTCCAGATGGATTAAAGACTTAAACATAAGACCTAACACCATAAAAACCCTAGAAGAAAATCTGGGCAAAAACCATTCAGGACATAGGAGTAGGCAAGGACTTCATGACCAAAACACCAAAAGCATTGGCAACAAAAGCCAAAATAGACAAATGGGACCTAATCAAACTCCACAGCTTCTGCATGGCAAAAGAAACAGTCACTAGAGTGAATCGGCAACCAACAGAATGGGAAAAAATTTTTGCAGTTTCCCCATCTGACAAAGGGCTGATATCCAGAATTTACAAAGAACTAAAACAGATTTACAAGAAAAAAACAAACAAGCCCATTCAAAAGTGGGCAAAGGATATGAACAGACAGTTTACAAAAGAAGACATACATGAGACCAACAAACATATGAAAAAATGCTCATCATCACTGGTCATTAGAGAAATGCAAATCAAAACTGCATTGAGATACCATCTCACGCCAGTTACAATGGTGATCATTCAAAAATCTGGAGACAACAGATGCTGGAGAGGATGTGGAGAAATAGGAACACTTTTACACTGCTGGTAGGAGTGTAAATTAGTTCAATCATTGTGGAAGACTGTGTGGCGATTCCTCAAGGACCTAGAAATAGAAATTCCATTTGACCCAGCAATCCCATTACTGGGTATATATCCAGAGGATTATAAATTGTTCTACTATAAGGACACATGCACACGAATGTTCATTGCAGCACTGTTTACAATGACAAAGACCTGGAACCAACCCAAATGCCCATCGATGATAGACTGTACGGAAAATGTGGCACATATACACCATGAAATATTATGCAGCAATCAGAAATGATGAGTTCGTGTCCTTTGTAGGGACATAGATGAACCTGGAGACCATCATTCTCAGCAAACTGACACAAGAAAATGAAATACCACATGTTCTCACTCACAGGCGGGTGTTGAACAATAAGAACACATGGACGCAGGGAGGGAGCATCACACGCCGGGGTCTGTTGGGGGGAATAAGGGAGGGGCAGCGGGGGGGTGGGGAGTGAGGAGAGAGAGCATGGGGAGAAATGCCAGATATAGGTGAATGGGGAGGAAGGCATCAAATCACACTGCCATGTGTGTACCTATGCAACGATCTTGCATGTTCTTCACATGTACCCCAAAACCTAAAATGCGATAAAAGAAAAAAAAAAAAGGAAGAAAAGGCCAAGCAAGTTTGAATAAGCACTGTTCTAAGCACTTTCTCAAAAAGCTACCACCCTGCTCCTTGCCTGATCCTCATCTATTCTTGGTGGAGATCTCACCTCAGGGCAGGCTACCTGTGACTCCCCTTTAGTAACTGCCTCGGTCCCTGCCTCTGCCAGGGGGCGCTCCTCCAGTGTTCTGGGCTGTGACCCTCCTAGAGTGTCCAGCCTTGCCTACTCCTACTATGACACCTCCCTCTAGTCTTAGATAAGAAAGGTTTTCTACCCTGGACCCTGGTGTTGCTGAATCCCACTCTCTACTTGACAAATAAGGCAGTAGGATGTAGAGAAGCTGTTTCTAAATATTAGAGCCTGTAAATGGAGATGCAGAACCCTCATTATGGCTTTTGAGAGAAGCCAAGCAAAGAATAGGAATGGCCAAAAAGAGATAAAAAGGTAGAAATAACCCCTGAGAGTTGCAGTAAGCAGTAATGTATGATGCGTGGGTATAGGGAAACTGGAGCCTCATATAGTCCTGAGATCATGTGGTTGCACATTTTCAGGTCTTTTTTTTTTTCTTGCCAGACAATAGCATTAGTACAGAGGCTTAGAGTGCATTCCTCCACTTAATAAGCTTGATCTAATTTCATACAAACTTCTCTTAATAAAGTCTGTGTTGAAATTATCCTGAGTCCCTAGGGTGTCTACAGCAGGAAAAAAGAGGCACATTCTAGCATAGTCTGCCTTACATTCAGGTCATGTTTTCCAAGGAGTTCTTCATGAAGCTCCAGTCCTACCCCTTCACAAAAAGGCCAAGGTCAAGTTGGGGAAACAGCATAAGCCATTCCTAAACCACCACATTTGAGGGTCATAATTGCCTGTTCACTTATTAAAATAAGGTTCTCAAAAGCACTCCAGTAAAGCAATCTGAGTTTGATTCAGGTTCCTCAATCTTATGCAGCCATAGAACTCACTCTGTGAAACATCTCAATGGAGTTATTAATGCGGTTCTTCCCTATTAGGTCAAGAGTTTGTAGGAGGCAAGGGCTAGCTGCTCTGAGAGATCCTCTCCTCACCTTCCTTGACTTCAGGACCTATATAGAAGATTGATAATTAACATTTGTTGAATTATATCCTATTCTTGAGGCTATTCTGACAAAGGCATGTGGCTTATGTTCTGGCACACACAGAAGTAACTAGAAAGATGTCTCTTAATATTGTCCACATTAAAAATCAAGGAAAGATTGTTTTAGGTCCTGGAGTCCATTTGACATGGGGGTGCATTTGGTTTGAAGATAATACAGATTAAAATCAAGTTTAAAGTTCAGTGAATCATGTTTGGAAACATGGTATCACTGAGTTATACTTTTAACTTTGTATCATATTTTGAAGATGTGATTAATTAGATTTGACAAGGGTCTGAAAACAAAAACAGTATGGTCTCTAAGAGACACACAGTGGAGAGGGAAAGAGACCCTGAAAAGAGAGAAAGAAAATTCACCTGATATATCCCATCCTGGGGTTCCTTGGCTCTTTGCTCTGTATCACTGGCTGCTGAGTCTGAGTTGTATACAGCCAGGGCAGTGCTGAGCATCTTACATGTGTTCTCATTTAGTCTTTACAACCTGACGCATAGCCTAAGTATGACCCCCATTTTGCCAATGAGAAAACGGATTCAGGGATGATAAGTACCTTGCTGTGAGTCATACAGAGCTGGATTTGAATGCAGATCTATTCAAAGATCTCACTCCTGTAGGCCTGTAAATAGAGATGCAGAACCCTCATTGTGGCTTTGTATGTTCTCACTCCAGAGGCCTCACTCTTCCATATACCGGTGGACCACCACAGCCAACTAAGGCAGGCCAGAGGATTCTGGATTGACCCAAACTCCCTTGGGATTTTTCACAGAGATTGGACAGAGTCAAGCTAAGGACTAACAACAACTACAGGCCCATCAGGCATCATGTTGAATAAGGGGAGGGGTGAATTTGGAGTCAGTAGAGAATTTCAGAACCTTCCAATGCTGCTTATTTGCTCTAGATCTTTGAAGTCAGCATCTTCCTCTCTCAGGCCCTCAGTTCCTTTACGTGTAGAACAAAATAATAGTCTAGGTGATATATGAAAGCCCTTCCAACTCCATGAATTCAGTTTCTCAGCCCCAGAGAGCTGACATTTGTAGTCATCCCTAAGTTGTATGTTTCATTCACTAATAATGCTACACAAACATTTGCTGGAAAGGCTGCAGAGGCAGGTTCATAAAAGTGAAAGCATTGAGAAAGCCTGTGGGAGTGTGTCATGGCCAGCCACAATGACAGGTCATCTGTCCCCACAAGCCACCTGCAGCCTACAGCTGTGTAAGCATTCCCCCTGGATTGTATGGACAGAGTTTTAAAGCTGCACTTATAGAGGTCTATTACACACTTCACTTAGTCTTTTGCATTCCATAGGTATCTCCATCACTGAAATGAGGAAGTGAGACAAAGCAAGATTTCAGATGGTCTCGTTATTTGCATTGCATACAATTGATACCCAAGTATCCATGAAATTGTGTTCATCAAGGGGCATCCCCAGGAAGCAGCCATACAGAGGGAAGCATCAAACCCCAGCAAAGAAGATACATGGCCCCACTCCTTTCTGTGTGTTTCTCAGACTCAATAGCCATGGGAATGACAGCTGGAAAAAACAACAGCATCCTGAACACACTTTACACAGGAAGATACTTAGTATGTTCACACTACATAGCTTTTTTTTTTTTTTTTTGAGATTAAGTCTCACTCTGTCACCAGGCTAGAGTACAGTGGTGCAATCTCAGCTCACTGCAACCTCTGCCTCATGGGTTCAGGTGATTCTGCTGCCTCAGCCTGCCAAGTAGCTGGTACTACAGGAATGTGCCACCATGCCCAGCTAATTTTTGTATTTTTAGTAGAGACGAGGTTTTGTCATGCTGGCCAGGATGGTCTTGATTTCTTGACCTCATGATCTGACCTCCTTGGCTTTCTAAAGTGCTGGGATTGAAGGCCACCACACCTGGCCAATGCATGCATATTTTTACCTGAAAATATACTTAGAAGAGAGAGACACTGGTTCAAAAGCTGTATTTATCATGCATGAGCCCACCTTTCAAATGAAAGGAATCTGGAGGAATCAGTGTGTAGCTCTTCATTCCTGATGCAAACTCTGACTCAGAATAAGACAGGCTGCATTAAATCGTGTTTGCTACATACAACTGTTTTTTAAGACAACCATATTCTAGCAAACTTGATACTAGTTACTGGGAGTTGCTGCTTAAGCCAGTCTGTGTCCACAGGGCCAGTAGAATTGAACATTTTCCTTCAGCATTGAGTCAACTCCAGGCCCCTTCTACTTTTCTCTCTGCCATGACCCCCCCTTGGGACAATGAGCTCAAAGCCAGGGTATATTTAGATGGAAGGTAAGCTAGAAGAAACAACTAGGAAAAATTAAGAGAACAGAAGCTAAGACTTCAAAAATATAATCCCTCTGCTTAAGGATTAAATAAAGTAGCATGTGAAAGAACTTGTCATGTTTCAAGAGTCTAACAAATGATGGTTATTTTTTTCCCTCTTACGTATTGGACACATTGCCTACATCAATTGTTCGGAAATGAATCATGTCCTGCCTTAGAACATCTATCATATTGGCAATTTACTCATATTTTTATTTTATTTTCAGTGCCTATGTTATTCTCTCAAATAAATGTAAGCTTCTGAAGACCATGGTTCACCTCTTAAATTAACTGAATCTAACAGAAGGCCAGTCACACAGAAAATGCTTTAAAAATGGGTGCAGATCTAGCCTCAGGAATCCAAAATCATGTTTGCAAACATTTAAAGAAGGTTCTTTATAGAAAAAAATATCAGGTATTTTTTCCTTAAGATGATTCAAAAGCATGTTTATGTCTAACCAACAAAGGAGTCATGTGGTCTATGCAGACACTCTAGATATTCAAAGGAAAGAGATTTTAAATGTGTCTTTTATTTTGTTTTAAATCCTGCATCACAACCACCCGAGTGCAAATAAATTCCAAATTTTATACTGGCCTCCTATTGAAAAATGCTCATTGAATCAATTTCCCTGATAGAGTATATCACACATCTGATATTGAGTCAACATATAGAACATGAGTGTATTTTGCTGAGAGAAGATGGCTGGTAGGAAACTGTCTTAGCATTCAAAACAGTGGCAAAGTTTGGCCTTCGAAGCTAAAGCTGCTGAGTGAGCAGTTGCAGAGGGCTAGAGGATAGATCCCAGTGGGCTTTCTCTCAGTCTCATTCTAGGCCTGGCTGCCTGGCACCACCAGGCAACCTCAGCTGGTTCTGTTCTGGGCATGGGTGGATGTACTCACACTATAGGAACATACACTTTACCACTTTGTACTGGTATGGCCTTTGGTCACCTACTTCCCTTCTCTAAGCCTAAATGTGTTCATCTGTAACTATAGATGAGTATCTACTTCCCAGCAGTTTTATGAAGATTCCATGAAACAATGTATGCTGAGTATGTCACATGGTGTTTGGTACATACTGCATGCCCAGTAAATAATAGTTGTTGTTGAATTTGCTGCTCCAAGGAGAAGGAGGCTGAAATGAGATGACCACCTGCCCTGAAGAGTGGCAGTGCCACCATCCACACACAGGCTCACACCCTCTGCCTGCAGATCAACAGAGATGCTCCTTTGCTGGAACAGGAACGTGCTAATGGCTTCAAGGAGCATTTTATGCATGGGAGCATTGAGGATTTAAATCAGAAAATCCCAGTTAGCTTCCCCACAGCCATGGGTCATCTCAGCCATTTCCTCAAAGCCAAATCTGTTTAGAGCTTTTTGTAAACTGAGTACCTCAAAATAAACTTATTCTTTTATTTCCAAAGTAAAGATGCTTTGGGTGGCAAGTAACAACACTGTGGGTCAAAATCCATAAAGATGGATGAGTGGCACCCCAGGCTGAGAACATTCCAAGGCAGAGCAGGGCAGCTCAGGCGCCACTCTTCCCTGCTGGGGCTCTCCTGGCACTTCCCTCCTCCATGCAGGGCCTTGGTCATCGCCAGTCTGCTGGCAAGATAGCTTCAACAGCCAACCTCCCATCTTCCCATAACTGTCTCCAGGAAAGAGAGCAATAGTTTGTTCCAGAAACTTTAAGAGGGAAACTTGAAGCTTTTTATACAGAAGTTGACAATCAGCTTATCTCATGATACTGGCCTCAATTTGGTCTCATGATTCTTCCTGGATCAATTCCTGTGACTTATTGATTGCCAGGTGATGGCTTCATCCTAGGTCCCACGTCCACCTCTCAATCTATCACGGGTGTAATAGGGATGGAATAATCTAATTAGCTTGAAGTAAAGAGAGTCTGTCTCTGGAGCGCGAGTCAATACCTTAAACTTTAGAACTGCCTTTGCAAAAGGGAAGGAGTGAGATTGATATTGGAAGGAACAGCAATGCCCACCACTCTGCTGATATTCAACTCACCATCTCCTTCAATTCAAGCAAACAATTACAAAACGTCTGCTGTGTGCCAGGCATGGTGCAGGATGCCAGGAAGACACAAGATGCCCAGTGTTGTTGACAGGAATAAATGAGCCGGCTTACACAAAGTGCCTGTCGCAGCACTCAGTCCCTAAAACTTGCTCAGGATTGTCTTCATTAAAATGAATAATGCATGAGTGATCCCTGCCATTCAGGAGAGAAAGACTCTGACTAATAAATTAGACCAGTGTGCACAGAGCAATGAGACTAAGGCTGTGGGTACACAAAGGATAGAGATCACAAGAGGAGTGCGCAAGGCCCAACCCCACAAGAAGCTGTAGCCCAGTGGTTCTTAACCTTGACTTCACATTCGATTCACCTGAGATGTTTTCAAGACTCCCCATACCAATTAAGCCAGAATCCCTGGGGATGTAGCCCAGCACCAGGCATCAGTTTGTCTTTCTTAAGATCTCCAAATGATAAAAATGTGTAGCCAAGGCTAAGAAACACTGTATTTTAGGCTACGGAGAACATAAACACATACCTGTAAACAATTAGCTAGCAATGCCAGGTGGTGAGGGGTATGCTAAAATGGATCAGGGTGGGGTGGGGCTCCAGGCAGGGAAAGGGTATGAGGGTCAGGGAGGCACATGGTGGGCAGAGGGGAATCATGAAGGGTTTCCATGCACATCGGGAAACAGAAGTCTTAAGGGGCCTTGAGGAACTGTGATATTTGCCTAATGTGAGTTATTTGGGGATGATGTCTCAGTGTGAAGAGGAATGGGTTTAAGCAAAAGCATAGGGGCAGGTGTGGAAGGTATATGGATCTAGATCCAATCAGGAGAGAGAAAACTATAATTTCAACAGAAAAAAAATGAATAAGGGCATTAGAGCAACATGGAATTAGTGGGTAAGAACTCTAAAGAACACAGGAATAGAATCTATAAGGACCATCCACTACTCAGGGCTGAGATAGAGCATCCCAGGGAAAACCTGCCTATCCCCAAGCTGAGGTCTAGACTTTGTTGGCACAGCATGGCTTGAAAAATAGCAGAGAAGTTGCAGGGATGTCATTTGTTGGAAATCTGCCCTCTAGGGAGCCGGAGAAGCCTTTCACAGGAAGGTGTCTCGTAGGAGCACACTCTTAGCAACTGCTAGCAGCAAAGAGGGCTGGGGAAGCTGCTGACCAGGGTTGCAAGAGCCAGACATTGGGGAAACTGAAGGAGCCACCAAGAGAGCCCAGGAGAACCTGGAGGCAAAACCCAGAAGTGTGCCTAGGAGCAAACAGAGGCCCAGGGAGCTTATGAAACCTTCCTGGCAAACTAGCAAAGCTGGAATTCAACCCAGGTCCATCTTTTCTATGCATTATTCTTCTCTGAACAAACAGGAGTACAAGATCCAGGCTGTGGAGGTTGCTCAGAGATGGAAGGGGCCTGTGCTTAGGTTAGTGACAGAGGTCTCCTGGGGAGGTGAGGCTTCAAATGGACCTCAGACACCATATTTGGAAAACAGGGAGAAAAGAGGAGGAAGTGGATTTCAAGCTGGCATTGCAACACAAGCACTTGGAACACACACGTGGGTAGAAGTGGACCTGAGCTCCCATAGGCCTCAGCACAGCTAGGAGAGAGTGTGGTAGCAGACAGAAAGCAGGCGATGAGGGGAAAGCCAAAGATAGAATGGAATCAGGAAGTCCTTTTAGGTCAAAGGCCTTGAATTTAAGCACGTGTGAAATCGACACATCATGAGAAAGGCAGAGCTCATAAATGAGCGTTTCTAGGATTCCTCAGTCACATGCCAAGCTCTCAGTGGAATGTAGGGAAGCAAATGCCAGCTTTGAGGTAGACGGCCTAGAACTAGAGCATCAGCTCCAACGTTTAGCTATATGTCCTGGGGAAAGTCATGTTTTTGAGTCTCAGGGCTCTGCACCTGCCAGGTGAAAACAATGCCACCACATCCTTGCCGGCTTGTTCAGATGAAGTTCCTGGCAGAGACTGGCACAAGGTAGGCCTGGAGTTTAATCAATAACATCTTCCTTCTCCCTCCTATTTTCACTCATGAGACTCCTCCAATCTCCTAAGACAGTGTACCCTTGAAAATAACCCTTAAAATTCAGAACTGCCAGGATTCCTAAATCTGGTGCAGCCAGGGAGTGCCAGAGCATTAGCAGCATGTAACTTCTTACTGAGATTCTGGCTAAGGTGTTCATCACTGAGAAGGAAAAGCTCAGGTTCAGGGGACAGACAGTCAGGGTATCTTTGGCTGCATGGCCAAGTGGTGCCTTGAGGTGCTGTTTCCTACCTGGTCTCCACAGGGAAAATGACGGTGTTTTGTTTTTTGTTTTGGTTTTCAGGAGGAGAAGTCACCAAACCACGGTTTACTCAGTTCTTTCATGGCAGCCTGGCCAGTCTCACCATCCGCCCTGGCAAAATGGAAAGCCAGAAGGTGATTTCCTGCCTTCAGGCCTGCAAGGAAGGGCTGGATATTAATTCCTTGGAAAGCCTTGGCCAAGGAATAAAGGTAAGGCAGGAACTGGCATTGCCCCCAATAAGACAGTGATTCATGATGCCCAGCCTGCCCAGTGCCAGCACACAGCGGGAAATGGAGCTTCCTGGAACATTGCACAGAAATGGCTCCACGGCAAAGTGCAGCCACGAGATGGGAGATCTGGGGGGAGATTAGTAACCATTACTTCCACTGTGGACTTCTGCGGCCATCTTCCAAAACTTCCAGATCAAGTCCTTGCGTATAAGCGGTCCACTACACAGAAGCAGGCACATGTTCAGTATCTTCCTGCAGGAAGTTGTTATATCTCGTTTGTGTGTTAGTTGGCTGCTCTGTTGTTTATTTGCCTAAAGGTACTGAAGGATGCAAGAATGCATTTCAAAAGCATAAAAAGTCAACAAAAACTTAAGACCTTGTGAAATACAAATTTAAAAGGAAAGTGGAAACCTGGGTGGGGTGGAATTAGAAAGCAGGTGTGGAGGTCATTTCATCTTACATTGTTACTTAAAGGCCCAAGAAACATGAGCCGGGCACAGTGGCTCACACCTGTAATCCCAGCACTTTGGGAAGCCAAGGCAGGCAGATCACAAGGTCAGAAGTTCAAGACCAGCCTGACCAACATGGTGAAACCCCATGTATACTAAAAATACAAAAATTAGCTGGGCGTGGTGGTGCTCATCTGTAATCCCAGCTACTCAGGAGGCTGAGGCAGGAGAATCGCTTGAACCTGAGCGATGGAGGTTTCAGTGAGCTAAGATTGCCCCACTGTACTCCAGCCTGTTGGATAACAGAGCAAGAATCTGTCTCAAAAAAAAAAAAAAAAGAAAAAAGAAACATGAACAGTTAATGATTTGTATTGTTTATGCAAAATAGAAATATTCAAGTGATCTCAGAGAAGCAAAGGTTCATTTGAGAGAAGCTCCTCCTGAAGGGGGCAGGGAGAGATGTGACTGACTGTAGCCTCAGCAAGAACCCTCTGAAAGGCAGGGTCAGTTTCTAAACTCACCTGGCCTTACAAAGCGAGCACATGGTAGTGCTGGCCCACGGAGCCCTGAATAAAGAGCAGAGCTACTGTCATTGTAGCCCCCACTCAATCACAGTGGACGCCGGTATGAAAAGGCAGTCCTTCAGCCTCCTCTGGAAGTTGGAACAGCCTAGCCTGTGCCTCCTGGAACACAGATAGCCCCGTGACACCCCAGCAGTTGTGAGGGTTTCTGTTCTTGGCCATTTCCCTAGAGAGTGTGACAAAAGCAGAGGTTTCACAGCTGGCCACCATCCCTGACCCAGCACTGCCCGTGGGCAGCTCTGCCCTGCCCTGGGCCTGCCTCACCTGGACAGGGAGTCACCACTCCAACAGAAATTTCCAGATCAGTAGCCTACTGCTAGTCAAGCTCTGGCACTGGGTATCTCTGGAAAAGCTGCTGGTCTGAGAGTATTCTTCAAATTGCAGCCACTTCCACAATCATTCCATGGACATGCTAATATTCTATTATAGGCTGGGTACTGAGATATGAAAAGAAGTGTTCTGCGCTTACCGTCTTCAAGGACCTCGGTGACACAAACAGACATTTGTAATCCAGTTGATGACTACAACAATGACTATGAACATTAACATTTACTGAGGGTCCCTCAAGTGCCAGACACTGTGTGTCCTAAATGTTTCATGGGTATTGATTCCCAGAACACTCACATGACAAAGGAACCATAAATATTCCCATTTTGTATATGAGGAATGAAAGACTGAAGGAGATGGGGAACTAACCTAAGATCCCACTGGGCGCAGTGGCTCACGCCTGTAATCCCAGCACTTTGGGAGGCCGAGGCAAGCGGATCACCTGAGGTCAGGAGTTCAAGACCAGGCTAACATGGTGAAACCCTGTCTCTACTAAAAATACAAAAATTAGCCAGTGTAGTAGTGGTGGGTGCCTGTAATCCCAGCTACTCGGGAGGCTGAGGCAGGAGAATCACTTGAACACAGGAAGCAGAGACTGCAATGAGCCGAGATTGCACTACTGCACTCTAGCCTGAGTGGCAGAGCAAGACACTATCTCAAAAAAAAAAAAAAAAATCCCAGAATTAGTGATGAATAGATTCAGTCTCAATCCAGAGATCCAGAACCTTAGAGAATGGCAGTCAGGGCAGGCTCCTTGGAGGAGATGAGGCCAGAGTAGAATGTTTATAAATAGGTAGGAACCAACTAGGAAAAAGGCAGGGGTGGAGAGGTGACGGGAAAGAGGGAAGTCATTCCAGGCAGATCCAAAAGTGTGAGTGATGATGGAGGGCTGAGGAATAGCACAGGATTCACCAGAACTTCAACAAAGCCAGTGCTATGAGTGTCTACCTGCAGGAGGAAAAAGGTGGAAGGTGCCACAGAGATAGGCAGGGGCCACATCAGAGGCCACCTATTCACGTAGTTTAGGTGTTTACATTTTTTCTGTCAGCAATGGGGAGCCACTGTAGGCTCAGGCAAGGGAGGGTGATCTCGGCGTATGTGGGGTTTAGGATGCTCACCCTGGAGACTGAGTCAGCATGGGGAAGATGGGAGGAGTACAAAAGTCACGGCAAGGCAGGATTGACTTTCCAGAACATTGTTGAACATGGATTAGATACACACACACAGTTGCTCTCAATAGCTAATCACCGGTCCTTGGGGCAAGCTCAAAAGACATCTCATATTGGAAAGGCCAGTCTTGACCTACTGTTGGCGTTGCTTCCTTAGAGTTCTATCAACCCAGTCATGGAAAAATCTATCCTCCTAACGTCTTCTCTTTTTCTGATTCTAAATGTACTCTCTGCCTCTGAGTAGATCTTCTCTGCTCTCAACCATTGCAGGCAGGCACAGTTTCAGGGTGGTAGGCACTACAGAGCGAAAACACAAAGATGCTGGGCCCAAAAATCTCGCCTTTTTATTAAAATTACAAATATACGAACCACAGCAATTTCTACAGAGTAGTCATGGCCTATGAAAAGAGGAGGTGCTAAAGTAAGTGGCACAAAAACTGGGGACTGAGGAAGCAAAGCTGACTTTTCCGGATGCTACCTGTTTATAACCAAGCCACTGCAAATGATCCTTTTCCATTCCTAGGGCGTGGCTGGTAAGAACTAGAGCACTGTGTGAGAAGTTAATAAGATGCCCAATTTATGGAGCACCACTGGGGGCTATTTTATGTTCATTACGCATTCTCCTCACAACAAATTAAATACTATGACCCCATTTCAAAACTAAGGGACTGGGGTTCAGGGATTTGTCCAAAATAAGTTAATGTTCTTTCCTCCATACCAGCAACTCAGATTAGAAGACATTCTTAAAAATCATTAAAATAAATTTCCTTCCTTTCCTCCCTCCCTTTATCCCTCATGTCATTTCAGAATAATGACTATTATTTTATTTTCCAGTTACTGGCCTCCTCTCACCTCTCTGGCTGGTAGAGAGAAGTGAGGCCCTTTTGTGATTAAGGAAATTCTCTACCTGATCACAGGGATCACAGCCCATGTTTCTTACTTTACTTGTCTTCTTCTGAATCATGCATATTTATGAATATTTCTCCAGCATGTCTGAGTCCTGAAATGGTCTAGTGGCTGCTGTCTTGCATCCATGCAAGATACTGTGGAATCACCACATTCCTGAGTAACACCCTGTTCTGATCTTCATAGCACAGTCCTTGCCAATTTGTCATCTCCATCATGTGGAAGAACAGGAAAGAGCAAGAATTTTAAAACTAGACACTCCTAGGTTCAAATCACAATGCTGATTATTTATTAGCTGAGTGGCCTTGGGCAAGACACTTTAATCCCTTAGTCCAAATCTCTCATGTATAAAATAAACATAATATTATTTATGTTGTAGTGATGTTGTAAGAATTTAATTATATATCTAAATTATATATACTTTAGATATTATATATTTTTAGTGTATATATATATACTATATATGTATATATATTGTGTATTATATTATATATATAATACATACACACACATATATATCCTAACAACCTAGTAGATGCTTGACAAACCATAGCTCCCTTTTGTTACAAAGGAACTTCTAAAGTGGCAAATCTTCATCTGACCCCACTCAGAGAAATGGTTTAGCTGAATCTGTAAGTCAGAAAAATCAGAGTCCAAATTTTGTGTTATTTACTGAATATGGACCGTAGGCAGGCAGGTGTCAGAGAGAACAGCAGGGTTCCTGTTGAGTCATAGCTAGCCTGCTCTCAAACAGCCAGGGCTTTGAGCAGTGATTTCACTGGTGGTCCAGCCCGCTGGGGGGTTGCAGATGCCACATAAACCTCTAAGAGAAGTCTGTAATAAGAACACCATTCTTCAAGGGCTATCTGTCTAGGACCTTCCTGGCTCAAAGAAAGGCTATGGCCACAGCACAGATACCCAAGGGGGAGTGAGCACTATCACCCTTTGCTGGAGACCCTGGCATGCCACCATCTCCTGCCTTGGTAGAGATGCCAGTACAAACATGTCTCCTGTTTAACTAGACACCCACTAAAAGAGCTGGAAATACCACAGTTAAAAAAAATAACTCAAAACCTGCTCTGGAGGTTTTATTGACCCTGCAAGAACTATGTTGATGGCTAGGCCAGTGCCCACCTTCATGCTTTGTGACACGCCTCCCAGTGCTGTGGCACAGAACAGGGTATTAACCAGAGATCCAACACAGTCTCTTCCAGTCTCTCTCCAGGTGGCTGCAGAGGGATTGTGACCTCTGCTGATGGCCATAGGATACTGCTTACCCATCCCTCTAGAAGAACCTCTTGATTTTCCTACACAGCCCTCATGTGAGGCTCAGAGACCAGCCTCCAGTGCAGACCTATTATCTACCTCATGCTTTTCATGTGCTTGACCCTGCAGTGGTGCTGAGGAAAAGTCAGTAGCCCTGCCCTTGAAGTCCTCACAGTCTTCTGGAGGATGCAGACAGACAGACAGCAACAGCACAAGACTCTGCTATAGGAAGATGGTGCAGGGGACAAGGCTGGAGAGGAGGGGCAGAAAAACCTCTTAAAACATAGATGGTGTTTGTAGAACAATGACCTTGAATCTTCCCAAATCTGAAACTGATGACTTGCGAATACCTCAGCACTAATCATGACTCACTAGCATGAGGCAGCTCCAGGGATAAGCACCCTAAGCTGCTGAGGCCTTCCAGGCAAGAGAGATGCTGACCCAGCTACTGACTGTGGCATCACCCATGCTTATACCTGGGCGCTCCAGAATCTAGCACCAGAGAGTGGTGCTCGTGGCCAGATGTCACAGCTCAGAGAGACACCACTCCTCAGGACTTGGAAGGACAGAAGAGAACTGAATACAAGGACACAAGAGCAGTGAAGGCTGGACACAAAGACTCAGTGCCGGCATAATTACAGTAGTAAGAATTATCATCCAAGCTATGGCATATTTAGTATCTTGTAAGTGCTAGAAACGTTATACATATTATCTCATTTAAGACCCACACAGACAGATATTAATTTCCCCCATTATTTAGACAAGGAAATGAAGTCTAAAGGGGGAAAGGAAGTACTCCAAAGTTGTACTTCATAGCCTGTACTGGAACTAGAATATTAGAATCCACAAAGCCCATGGTCATTCAGAGATGCCTTATGGCCTTGGGGAAGTGAGAATCAGGCCTGGGAAGTGCCATTTTCCCAAACAGGCTAAGCTGTTACAGTAGCATGTGACCCCAAACCTCAAGCCTCATGGGCTTAACATTACAAGTTCAGTTTTCTCTTATACTCAGGAAGGTGGGGTGGGGTTTCTGCCTAGAACGCTGCAAGCCACTGAAGTGGAGGGAAAAGACGCTGCAGCATCCTACAGGTGTTTCACTGCCTCAGCTCAGAAGTGCCACACCTCACTTCTTTTCCTGCCCAGTGGCCAGAGGTATTCATGTGACTCTGGCCACATGTGGCACAAGGTGGCTGAGGAGTGTAGCCTCCACAATGCCCAGGAAGGAAAGGAGAACAGGGTTTGGCAAGTACCAATAATGACTTCCACAGAGCTTGACTGAAAAGACAAATGAGAGAAAAAAAGCCCCTTCGAGGAGTGACAGGAGATGATAGTGTAGGCTGGAGACCCTTCACTAATTCATCTAACAACAGCTTTCAGAACACTAAGGCTAAGTTCTGGGATGCAGGGATAAGAAGCAGAGTCCCTGTGTTCATGAACTACTGGGCATTGAACTATAATGGTGGTATTACCATTTTGTAAGTGCTACAGGAGAAAGGCACCAAAGCCCAGTGGGAATCAAAATGAGAAAAGCTGGGAGGCCTCATGGAGCAGGTAACAATGACACACTCACACAATGGTCAAGGTGACAAAGATTGAGCTATCAGTTGGCTAGGGGACACCATGTAAGGGACTTAGGTGGTTCAGTGTCACCAATGGTGCTCATGAGACATCCACCTCCTGTTTCAGTCCAGACACAGAACACCCTTATAAAGACATTTAAGTCAGATCAGAAAATGTTAATACACATTTTTCCTTAAACCTATGAAAATATATACTCAGCTCCTCATGCTAAGAAAACTACAAATTAAAACTACATTAAGATGGCATTTATCATTTATCAGATTGGCAAAAATCCTGACATCTGATAGCATGCTGTGTTGTTGGGGAATTGAGAGAAGCTGCATTGTCCTACACCGTTGGAAAGAGTATGTGTTGATATAATCCCTAGCAATGGAGAAGTTGGCAACATTTATCAAAGTTAAAAGTGCATATACTCTGACCTAGCAATTTCACTTGTTGATGATCCTACAGTTGTGCTTGCACAAGATTATTCATTCTGACATTGTCAGTAAAAGATTAGAAATCTTTTATTTTTCCAAATGTCATTAGGAAACTGGTTTTAAAGATTATAGTTTATCCCTGCAATGGAATATTATACACCTACTAAAAAAAGAATAAGGAAGCTTGTCATGTACTGATAGAGAAAGATCTCCAAGATATGAGCCAAGTTAAAACAAAGTATGATATATTATGTAATGAGATACTTTTGATATAAGAAGAAAAATGGAAATCTGTATTCACTGATTATATATTTATAAGAATGCTTGAGTATAACTGTCAGGATGAGCTAAGTTATGCTACAGTAACAAATTATTTAATATCTCAGTGGCTTATAGAGCGAAATTGTATTTATTGCTCATGCTTCATGTCCATTATAGATAGGCTGCAGCTCTGATCCATACCTCCCTCACTGTGAGATGCAGGCTGCTGGACCAGCCCCTAAAGGAATGTTGCCAGTTTCATGGCAGAGAGAAATGGATGCAGCATACCATGAACTGGTTATTAAATCTTCCATAGGGAGTGAACCAAATAATATTTGTGCCCACATTTAGTTGACCAAGCAAGTAACATGACCACTGCTGAGTGCAACAGGGCAAAAACATTATCCTGAAGGGAAGGGTACCATAAGTCATACAGTCAAGCCTATTAACAATAAGGCAGACATGTATAACTCTTCAATGGGAGGGGAAACAACTAATTGTGAACAACAATGCAGTTTGCCACTAAGAAACTAACAAAACAGTGGGGACCTGTGGGATGGGACTGTGGAGACTGGGTGGATGGGAGATAGAAATAATATGGATACTTTTCACCTAATGCATATGTATATTTGAAACATGAATATGTTATCTACTCAAAAGAGTAAATAATTTTAAGTTCGGTAGCTACTTAAAAAAAGAGATCTTTGTCTCCCTTTCCCCTGCCATAAGCATTTGATGCATAATCTGAATTCACAGATATGTTTCTGATATTTCATTGATAGCATTTCCTAATAATTCTTGCTCCGAAGTATGTCAAAGTCAGTAATTCGGGGCAGTACAAGGGCAGTTTTTCCTGCCTCATTCAAAGAAGTAACTGCCTTGGGGATATGGAGAAGGCAAGAGTCTATATCCAGCTTGAGTACCCAGGTGACTCAGTGGGGAGAATTGCCGCTATGTGCCTTTGCTAAGTGTGGGATGCCATGGACTCAGGATAGAATGGATAACCAACCCAGGGCTGCTGGCAGATGTTAGGCAGCAGGTGAGTACAACTCAAGTGCTAGACAACTCAAGTTTAGCACTTGAAAAGCAACACAAAAAAATTAGATCTGAGAGAGAAAGCAAGCCATTAACTGAAAAATGAGCTTGACGGTTAGAAGCTAAGATGAGGCCTGGTTGAGGAGTGCAAGATGAATTTGGGAAACAGATCAAGGTCAAAGGCAAGACAGCAGAAGGAGTCAACACCCACGTTCTGAGTGGTCCAGACCACTGGCTACCACAGAGCATGGGACACTGTTCACCAAGGGCTGGGCTGTGAGAGCACCATGGCTGGGTTTTCAATATTCAATCCAATGGCTCAGGCCGATATGACCAGGCAGAGTCCCTGGAAAGACATCATAGAAGAGGGCTCCAAAGCCCAACAGAGAGTGGGAGGAAGTGCTTGAAAGTTTTAATACTATCATTTGTACACACGACTGCATCACTGGCAGATGCTCTGGAGGTGTTTGTTGTGACCTTTGTTGCCCTGTATAGACAGGAAGTGCTCCCATGAAACCATGTATATCACTGACCATTCCCTACCATGATACTCACTTTTGTCTTCCAGTATCACTTCAACCCCTCGCAGTCTGTCCTGGTGATGGAAGGTGAGGACATTGGGAACATTAACCGTGCTCTCCAGAAAGTGTCCTACATCAACTCCAGGCAGTTCCCAACGGCGGGTGTGCGGCGCCTCAAAGTCTCCTCCAAAGTCCAGTGAGTGGATGCTGGTCAGCTTGGGGCCAACTGAGGCAGCAGGGTTGGTCCCTTAGGAATGTTCCCTTACAAAATAGGATTTGTCTTTCTTCAGCTGCCCTCAGCTCCTGCTATTCCTATGGGGATGTCTCAATGGATCTGTGTTCTTGTTTTCTTCTTAAGCAAGATGTTCTGTTGCTTTACTACCTTGAATCCACCTTTCTCTATTTTATTCTGTATCTTATCTAATGCCTAGAAGGTACTGCTTTCTATAAATTCTCAGAGAGCTGGGAATTTGAAGTGATCTGGATATGGGATTGAAGTGTTCTGATTTAAGGGCACAGTGCCTGGTACATAGGAAGTGCTTGACAAATGTTTATTAAATCGAATTAAGTTAACCAATGCAGCTATGTTAGAGGTCCTAAATCCTGTAGGTATGCCAGAAAAACAGGAGGCATGGTTCTTGTTTCCAGGGATCAGAGTTAAATTAGAAGACACTGAAGCCTTTGGATAACTCACTCACTAGCCTATCAAATCACTTCTCAGCCACAGCAGCTGCCTTGGAGGGCTGCTAGGAGGGGGATCCCAGGAAAACTCCCAGAAGGTGGAAGTGCAGTCATTAGTTGCACAGAGTCAGGAAAAGGACTCAGAAAGAGAGGAACAAGGGTGGAAAAGATGGGTCTGCTGACTGCCACATTGTTGGATCCTGAGACAGGCACCAGTATAAAGCCCACAGATGGTAGTTACATTCAGCAGTTCTAGAACAGTGGAGGAGTGCTTCACCTCTACAGGCTTAGGGGTATGGAACAGGTACCTCCAGGTCGGCACCACATTAGAGTGAAGATGAGAGAACAGACTGGCCTGCGTCCTGCTCTGAGACCAGGCTTTTGCAAACTGAAGAAAGGTAGGGGTGCTGTGGGGTTGGCCTGGCAGAAGCAGGAGAAAACTGGGAGGAGGAGGAGGTCACCAAAGCTCCCACATTTTACCCACCCATAGAAAAGGATGGAGTAGCTCAGCCTGGAATCTACCCAAAGTACCCTTTCCTCGGGAACTTTCCCAAGGCATGTAAGATGATGGCTGCCACCAGCTGAAGGCCACCAAGCACTCCCAGAGCATCTGTCTGACCCTGGTGTCCCCCACTGTAGCCTACATCTAGATGACCAGGGGCAAGGGCCAATGACATAGTGCCCCCATGAGGTCTGACAAGAAGGTCAAATCAACCAGTGTTTACTAAGCTGAAACCATGATGCCGGCTTTGGTCAGCTTGTTTTCTATATATGCTGCATTTATACCTTTACTGTAGGACAATTATCGTTATCCTCATTGTATAGATGAAGAAACTGAGGTTCACAAGAGTTGAGTGCCTTCTTCACATTTACTCAGCCCAGGAGTGGCAGAGCCAGGCCATGGATCCTTGCTTGTCTCAGACCTCGCTCTTGTGGCCACACCATTTTTGCCTCCCAGATGCCTGGCTGGTGGTGTATCAGGAGAAAGGAGAGTGATTACAATAGCAGTTTTCTCTCACACCTAGAAAAGGCACACTTTTGTGACATCCACATACAGACATATCGTATAAGTTGAGGCAGGAGAGTTTAGCCCTGGGGTCTCAATTAGTAAGAAGGCTGTAACCCCCCAGTTAGACAACAATTTGCTTACCAAATACTAAAGCACATCACAAGCAGTTACTATCTAATTAATGTGGCCATTGTTAAGGGATAATGGAAGGTTTCATGGTTACATGTTGCTCATATAGAAAATTCCTGTTTCTCTGGAGCCAATCCTTAAAGTCCCTAGATCACTAGTGGTTTTGATTATAATGTGGCTTTAAATTTGAATGTATGCTGACATCCTCAGAGACTCTTAGGCAGTCAGGATGCCTTGTTAAGCACTGGAGGTGGCAACCCTTGGTTCCTGGCTGTATGACAGATGGTTGAACTGTTTGCTCATCAGTGCCATAACTGAGGCTGTTTTCCCAGGTGCTTTGGGGAAGATGTATGTATCAGTATCCCCGAGGTGGACGCCTATGTGATGGTCCTGCAGGCCATCGAGCCCCAGATCACCCTCCAGGGCACGGATCACTTCTGGAGACCTGCCGCCCAGTTTGAAAGTGCCAGGGGAGTGACCCTCTTCCCCGATCTCAAGATTGTGAGCACCTTTGCCAGAACCGAGGCCCCCAGGGACATGAAAACCACAGGTACAGGCGCATTTGAGGTTGTGGGGAGGGTGGATCTTAATTTTTTACAGCCATGTGAACTCATACTTCAGAACAACAGCATTGTTCGTGTAATGTATACATGGCATAAATGTGTACATGGAAGTGTAATATAGCAAAACAGACAAAGCTATAAACAAACCAAATGAATGAGAGGGGAATGGATGGTTTAGCAATGAGGGATATGAGGTTGGAGGGAAGGCATTTATACTAAACTGTAAGTGAAAAAATGCAAGACACAAAGTTACATAGTACCTACACATAGAATGATCTCAACCATTTAAGAAAAAAAAAAAAACATGGAAAAATGCCAAGAAGGACACATACTCTATGCTAACAGGGTTATTCTCTGAGAAGCACGATGACAGCCACATTTGTTTCTGCTACCTTTCCCTTTCTGCAATCGCAGAAATGTTCTATAGTGGGCATGTATTATTCTGATAATCAGAAGAAAAGCTGAAGATACATAAAGAAAAAATATAGCTGCATCTTAATATATACACTATAAAAGTTAGGTCTCATTCAGCAACATTACTCTAAGTTCTCAGGAAACTTTTAAGTTGTTATTTGCGACAACTTCATGATTGGGAAGGTTTTTCAGCAAAAGAGGAGGAATGTGAATTACCTACCAAAGAGAAACACTTAGTTACTGAAAGCTACAGTATATGCTGGGGGAGGGGAGGGGAAGGGAAGGAGGGAAACCAGGAAATGAGCAAGGGAGGGAGGGAAGAAAACCTTTGTTACTCCGAGGGATCCAAGTCTATAGGGGAAATATAACTTCGAGAACTGTCCTCTGCTGCCTCTTCCAAGAGAATATTTTCAAATTCTCCCGTCCCCCTTCCAAAAGCCACTGCTAATGATGTGCTGGTGCCTGTGGTCCTCAGTCCCTGAAGAGCTGCTGTTATAATAATCCTAATTACCCATTGCCTTAAACCACCCTGGGTCCCTAGTGAATGGGGTACTCAAGAGACAGCCCTTCTTAGCTCATAAAAAATAGATGATATTTTACCACCTGTCCAGGCAGAACAGTTTCCTAGTCACAGGCCAACGTGCCCTAAGTTGTGTGATCATTCCTCTTCCCCTCTTCTCATTTGTGGCTAAAATCAGATGGAAATAAATAAGAGTCTCTGACCTCAGTGGTTGCAGTCATGACCAAGTATGTCTGGATTTGCTGCATCTGACACCAGCATATAGTGCTGACACACAGGAAGTGTAGGGAAGAGCAATTATCTGGGTCCACATTTCACCTTCTGTTTAGGAGAGGTACAGGCAGGCACATAGTCAAGTGTCCAAGAGCTATTATTAGTGCCCTTAAATGTTTACCCCTATTGTTGTTGGAATGGTCATTATTAAGGATATCTTAGACAAGGAGGATAATGGCATTTACCACCATTGCCACTGGCTCCAGCATCAACTGCTGCCCCCACTGAGATGCTCTTTATGCTCTCAATACCAAAGACAGGAGATTCCCCCAACATGGGCGCACGCGCACACGCCAGACACACACCTCCGTCAACTCTGTGTTAGTTCACACCTTTGCTTTGCTCTCTGGATGGAAAGTTCCTTTCCTTCTCTATCTTTTGATTCCTGGCAAACATCTCTGCCTTCAGCACCTCCCCAAGGCGGCTCCCACCGCCACCATTATGACACTCCCAACTGCTGGTGCTTCCCTCAGCACATATTTTTTAGCCCTTGGTGGTGATTTCCTGTTTATTAAACCAGACCAGGAGACCCTGAGGGCTCAACCATGGCCGATTTGCCTTTGGGTTCCTGGACGAAGCACATCTTCAACACAATCGTAATCAAGGAAACTGCAGATGGAAGATAATACCCATGACGAGAGAGAACCATGAGAAAATGGCAGCTGTGACACACTCTGTGACACATTTCCTACCTCACAGAGCTCTCAGTCAGCCACAGTGGGGGTAGGAACAAGGACAGTCCGATCAGATCTGACAAGAAGCCAGCAAAATCCCGGAAACTGTGAGAAGGCCGTCTGAAATAGAGATGCACATGCAATATTGATAATTATAGACCTTCTCTTAAGTGTATGTTATTGTGCTTTTAGATTTTGCTGATTATACACAAAACCACTGTGATTGACAAGCATTTTAAAATTAAGATAAAGAAATTATTTATAATATATATCTAGTGATAAAAATATTTTTAGTATCATTCAAAAACTTAAAAGATAATTATTTAAAATAATCCATCTTTAGTGAATCCTTTCTTAAATTTCTATTTTAATAAATGTTTTATAAAATACAAAGTATATTTAGTACACTTTATAAATAAGTATATGTATTTAAATTATCTCTCTTCGCAAATTTTGCAATAAAAGTGCAAGATCAAAACCGCTTGAAGACAACTAGCCTATCATCAGTAAGATGGGGGATAATAATGGTGCCCCTTTAATGTCTATTAGGATTAGATTTGCAGAGTGCCTGGCACATAGCACACGCTTCATAAATACCAATCACCTTCTTCACATGGAATTTTAATTTGGGACTGCCCAACTCTGCCCCGCATTCAAACACTCAGAAAATTCAGAGTCATACAGTCAGGCAAGGACAACTTGACTGATCAACTTGCTAATGTGCTCCCCTTGGGAGCATCTGAATTAATTATATTAATTTAACAAATATTGATTATTGGTTGTATCACATTGACTTAATTGATTATTAATTAATGATTCAGCTCTATTTGAGCAAGTTGTAATAGTGACTACTCCATGCTAGTTCCTGGGTTAGCCACTAAGGATTCAATCATAAAAAGACAGTGCTTCCGTCCTTCAGAATCTCAGGTGGTCAAGGGGACAGACTCACTATAGCCACAGGAGAAAGCTATGAGAGCATGGTGGAAGGCCACTTTTCTCTCCCCAGATGAGGGCTGTTGTTTATTGAGCACCTACAGTGTGCTTTAGACACTGTTGTCACTCATCTCAAGACCCTGCCTTCCTGACAGATGAAGAAACGAAGTGGTAGGTAGTTCCTCTAACACTATCAGCTCCTCAGTGACAGAGCTGGTATTCAAATCACATCTTTTGGCTACAGTATTCATGCTCTTCCCCCTAGTTCATGCTACGCAACCTCAGGGCCACCTGGACATCTGAGCAGTGGACGTAGTATTTGGGATCACACAGACGCTGCTCCTGACCCAGCCTTAACCTGGGGAGCAATAACAGAGGAGGAAGATGATTAGCAAGGGCTGTTTTCTGAGCTGTTCCTCATGCCTGCATTTCCTGTGTCTGTCTTCCTACAGCGCCCAAATCAGAAGTCTTAGAGGAAATGCTTCATAACTTAGATTTCTGTGACATTTTGGTCATCGGAGGGGACTTGGACCCAAGGCAGGAGTGCTTGGAGCTCAACCACAGTGAGCTCCACCAACGACACCTGGATGCCACTAATTCTACTGCAGGCTACTCCATCTATGGTAAGGCCACGCTCAGCCCCCTTTGCCCCAAGGGTGTCCTCTTAGAATGTCCTTGTCCAGGGAGACATGAGTGAGACTACACCTGTGAAGGAGCACTGTGAACCCCCAGGGACTATCAGTTGGAAATCCTTGGCCTCAAGCATGGATTTCTAGACCCTCCTTTGGCAAGTTACTCCAGCGTCTTGGGGACTGGTCCCACATTCCCACTCCTGGGAATTCTTCTGTAGAAGCTAGATGGATGCCTTTTCTTACAATGTTTGATCTCAGCAAATGTCACAGAAACATCTAGCAGATTGAGGCAGCCTGTATGGAAAGCCTATGCATCAGTGTAATTTTGGCTCCTTAGAACTTCTGCACATTGTCTGACCAAAATAGCTTGAGCTCTTACCCTCAACAAATTTACAAGACCCACCCTGTCTCCTTCTTCTCTTCCTCCTCCTCTTCTGCCTTCTGATGACACATGTGGTCTGTTGACACAGGTGTGGGTTCCATGAGCCGCTACGAGCAGGTGCTGCATCATATCCGCTACCGCAACTGGCATCCGGCTTCCCTGGAGGCCCGGCGTTTCCGGATCAAGTGCTCAGAACTCAATGGGCGCTATACTAGCAATGAGTTCAACTTGGAGGTGAGTGGGTCTTGCCATCGTTAGGGAAGCCAAGGCTCACCCAGTCCCTTTTTCATTTCAGAACTACTGTAACTGACCCACCTGCCACTCCTGGTCAATAGCACCTCTCCTGCTCTTCCCAGGTCAGTGTCCTCCATGAAGACAGAGTCTCAGATAAGGAGCATGTCAACCACCTGATTGTGCAGCCTCCCTTCCTCCAGTCTGTCCATCATCCTGAGTCCCGGAGTAGCATCCAGCGCAGTTCAGGTAGGGCTCCTGACAGGAGGGACCCTCAGAACATGAGGTAGTCACTGTGACTCAAGACTATTCACTAAACAGGCAGTTATCCTTTAGCAACCATAGGTGCCCAGAACTGAGGGAGGGAGCCCAGCAATGGAGAAAACGTGTCCTCCCTCTGAGGCACTCACACTCCTACTAGACAGTCAATAAGTAAACAAAAAGTTACACAACAGACATAATAGTGGAGGTTGTTTGTACAAAGGGCTGGGACAAAATTTCAGGCCCAACTCAAAATCATGTCCTATATGAAGCTTTCCATGAGCCCTTTACACACACACACACACACACACACACACACACTTATGTACCATATTGCAAAATCCTCTGCCCAAATTTCTGTTTGAGCACTTGCCATATTGTGTTACCATCTGGTGGGCACTCATATGTGTTTCTACTAAACTCTACAGTGCCTGGCTCTGTGGAAGTTTCTTTATAAGTTGAAGGGTAAAGCCAGAAATAAAAGATAATTTGCATTTAATGAGCAACTATACTGCACCTATGTGGAAACACACAGATTATTTAATTTACACCTAGCAATTACTCATAAGATAGGATTTGTCATGTCCATTATAGAGGTGATGAAAGTGAAGCCCAGACAGGGTCAGGCGCTGCTCTGGAGTTCCACAGCTGGGAAGTGGTAGGGCAGACTTTATCCTATGCATGGATGTTTCATTCATGCTCCATCACAAGACTGAGCTAGGCCTTTGTTCAATATGTCATGCGAGTTCCTTCCTTGTTCCAGTGGTTCCAAGTATTGCCACGGTGGTCATCATCATCTCCGTGTGCATGCTTGTGTTTGTCGTGGCCATGGGTGTGTACCGGGTCCGGATTGCCCACCAGCACTTCATCCAGGAGACTGAGGCTGCCAAGGAGTCTGAGATGGATTGGGATGATTCTGCACTGACTATCACAGTCAACCCCATGGAGGTGATCCTCACACAGGGCTGGGAGTTCCGGGTGGGGTGCTTCTCCCTCCACCCAGCTCAACCCTTCCTATGCTTAAAGCCGGTCCATGTCCCCTCCTTCTGGAAGCCCTGCCCCATCTAGTCCAACTCCACTGATTCTCCCTCTCTCTGAGCTCCTCTAGCCCTTTCAACCTGAACAGATCATACCTTCTACCAAATACATCCTCTGATTTACCAGGTATTAATTGCTCTTACCCCACAAACAGAACCAGAAATTTTTGTTAAAGCAAGCAAACACCACAAAGTGGCTATGCCTTGCTTCCCCCATAGTATTTAGCCAAGAGCTGACTAACACCAAGGGACTCAGTATTGAAGTTTTGATTAACTAACAGTGCAAAATTAGATGGCTTTGCTCCATACTGCCTAAAGAGTTCACTCAAAGACTCAGAACAGATTAAAACAAAAATATAGCAGCAATGCCTGCCATTTATTGAGCCCCCATTATGCCAGATACTGTATAGGATGCTCTATATATACCACCTCATTTAATCTTCCAACAACCTAGACGTCATCATCTTCATTTGCCAAGGTGGAAACCAACTAAGAAAGAAGTAACATACTCAAATTAACACCGCCAATGGTCAAATTCAAGGTTGTTTGATTCTAAAGTCCCTATCTTTCCAGTTAGCCAACAGCACCCAGAATTTATCCATGAGTGTCAGGTGAAGTCCTCTACATCACACCCTTTGCCCATGGGTCCTGGGTGTTGGTAGACACACACTTAGAAAAGGCAGGGGAAGATGATCACCCCAGCCTGGTCTTCAGTTTCCACCTCAGTTGGCCTCACACTCCAATTTCAAAGCCAGTGTGCTAATGTGGCTCAGTTTCTCCAAGCATGTACTGTAGGTACAGTGCTAAGCTCAGTGCCATAGAGACTCCATCATCTCCATCTTCAAAGAGCTGAGCTTTGAGTGTGGAAAACAAGACCACTATATCTGGAGCAGTCTGAGGACAAGGCAAGACTGTGCCTAACAAGGTCAACCTTGTGAGGTCAAAAGTCAATGAGCTTGGGTATGAAAGGCCTTCAGGACGGCAATGTTCAGAAATAAAATTTTGCTGGAATCATCCAAAAGTTGGATGGGGGAGGGGGGAATTGGACTGGAAAGAGGGATACAGCCTGAGGACACAAGTCAAAGGGTGAGCAGCAAGCATGGAAAGTGATGACCAAGACATTTGTCCTTTCCGAAGGAATATTTTTGAGGCGACACATACCTGAGTCTTTGCTTAGAAGACCTTCTGCTCCCAGGGACACTGTATGCACAGTTGGAAAAGAGACACGAGCTCTCTTTTCTCTCACTGAGAAGCAAATTGAGAAGCAAACACTTAAGGCTTAGACAACTCCATTTAAATAGGCTCCTGAAATGCCTGAAACGTTCAGTAAATGACAGATGGGATTGGCCTAAATGTCCAGCCTATCAGTTATACACAATAGTCTACCTTGAGTTCATGCCTTGGAATTTGCTGCTATTTCAGGCTTTTGCCTTGAATCTTCTAGCTTCCTTTTTACTAGAAGACTTCCCTTCCAGGAAGTCTGTCTGCAGGCTGAGGAGTTTAGCACTAAGAGAAGAAATTCCAAGGGGCCCTAAATGTTTCCTTAATCAAAGGAGAAACATAAGCTCCAAAGTGGCCTTTGCTCAGCCCCTGATGATCATTTCCTTTCTCTCCTTGATATCCAGAAACATGCGGGACCAGGGCACGGGGAAGATGAGACTGAGGGAGAAGAGGAAGAAGAAGCAGAGGAAGACATGAGCTCCAGCAGTGGCTCCGATGACAGCGAAGAGGAGGAGGAGGAGGAAGGGACGGGCAGAGGCAGACATGGGCAGAGTGGAGCCAGGCAAGCCCAGCTGGAGTGGGATGACTCCACCCTCCCCTATTAGTGTCCAGGGGTCTGCCTGGCCCACGTGTCCCTTTTGTAAACCCTGACCCAGTGTATGCCCATGTCTATCATACCTCACCTCTGATGTCTGTGACATGTCTGGGAAGGCCTTCTCCATCTTCCTGGAGCCCATCCTTTAAGCCTTCGGCACTCCCTGGGTCCCATAGGGAAGTTCCAAGAAGCCTAGCATGGCCATCAGTGGGGACTTGAGGGTAGACTTTGTCCCTTAGACCCCACTTCTGCTCTAAGCTCCCCAGCATCCTGTTTACCTGTCTGCAGAGTCTGCCTTTGCTTTTTTCTGCAGGAAAGAGGTCCACCTTTGTGTCACTCATCACCCCAGGCTCAGAGTCCCCAAGGCCCTGGGGTTCCAACTCACTGTGCGTCTCCTCCACACAGACCAGCAGGTCCTCCTATGCTTACTCCAGGTTGCTTTATACAGGGAGGGTGGTTGAACTTCACACACCTAAGGTCTTAGTGCTTAGCAGTTTAAAGGAAAGTTCTTGTAGAGGCAGAACTAAGTTTACAGGGGAAGGTACACACATATTCTCTCTCTCTCTCTCTCTCTCTCTCTCTCTCTCTCTCTCTCTCTCTCTCTCTCTCCTCTCTTCTCTCTCTCTCTCGCTCTCTCGCTCTCTTGTTCCTCAGCTTGGAGAACCTTTCCCTTTGCTTCTTTCTGAGGCCACATAAGCTTATAGGAAAAGTCCTAAACCAAGAATAGGTCCTCGGCCAAAAGGAGGGCCTGATCCCCCACGAGAGCTATCTGAGCCTGGCTGCCTGGGCACTTGCTGCAACCATGCAGTTGCTCTGCCAGGGACAGTCACCACACAGAACCACAGGGCCTGGGGGGCATTCCACACAGGCACTGCTCCAGGTGACAATTACCACAAGCCTAGAGCCACAAAACAGAAGGAAATGCTGATAAGATCACAGGTAGGCTTCCTGGTGGGCAGGGTGGGGGTGGCTGGGCGCCCCCCAGGACAGAGGGGACCCTGAGGTTGGCAAGGCTCTCACCACTCAGCCTCATTGTCCCTTATCTTCTGTTTTATACTATTTTCCCTCTTGAGAAAACACACGCTTTCTGGAAGTATTCGAAACACACAAGCTCCACTGAGTCTAAGATGAAAGTCTGAAATTGAACTGCAAGGAATTAGAAGCATATTTGCAATCAAGCAGCTTCTTCTTTCTTCTACTCATAAACAGATGAACACTTTGGATAGAGGGCAAATGTATCTAAAACCTAATTTCTTTCTTTTTTTGATAAGGAAATCTTTTTCATCTCCATCTTAACATGCACACCCTGTGAAGATAATTGTTTCTATAGTAACTGGTCCGTGATCTTTTGTGGCCAAGAGAATAGCAGGCAAGAATTAGGGCCGTGATCAAATTTCCACGAAGCTCTGAGAACATGTTTGTTTCAAATGTCTCAGGTTCCTCTTTGTCATCAGTGTGTACGATCTGTCTCCATCCTCCCACTTCTCCCCAAGCTCATGCCAATTGGTTTGGCACAGGCACAGAGCTGGTCCCAAGCTAAGTGGCATTCATGTTCAAAAACAAGTTCAGAATCTCAGCCTCTTCCTTGTGTCATCAAAACAGCTAAAGAAGGAGACTACTGCCAATGGCCTCTAGTATGACCTCCACCCAGTGAGGACCCATGGCAGGCCTTTTCAACTTTCTGATTCATGAGAACGATCTGGTGCAGCTTTTCCCACCTCCTAAAATGTTTTTTACATCTGTCCTTCCTTTGGATCTCACAACAATCCTGTGAAGTAACTGAGACATCTGTTGTTAGACATATTTTTGTGACGAGTAAACCAACACTTGGCGATTCAATGTTTTGCTCAGAGTCATTCAAAAGTATAGACAAGACCAGACTCCCCAAACTTCCCCTCCTGGTCCAGGATTCTACTTATAGGTATTCACCTGGCTGCATACCTACTATGTGCTAAGCATTCTACCAACAGCTGTGAGAAAAAGAAAAGCTGAATAGGATAAGTTCCTCCCCAACAGAGGGCTTTATATTTGCAGAGGGGAAATAAGCAGACCTAGAAACTACACAAGAGACAAATGAAGAGAAAGAGAAAGGGAGAGAAGTCACAGGAGAACAAAGACATGGTCACAAACTTAACTAGTGCTCTTATTTTTCCCTTCTTAGGGAAAAACACTGGAAGAAGTTGGGGTTTTATATTCATTGGATGGAAATAGACATTTCTCCTATGAATTCTCCCAACCAAATAGCCCTTTTCTATTAGACTGTCTGCACATCCACAAGGGGAAAAGCTGTAGGACTGATGACTTTTCATAGTCCCACTTAAACAACAAAAAAGTTCTTTATTTGGGCATTTAGGAGCTGCTAAATTCTCCCAAAATCATGGCAGCAAAAAGAACATTTCATATGTTTAAAACCAATTCCTTTGGAATTTGATTTTGATTTTAAATACTTAAGTCTAGTGTTTGTGAGAACTTTGCTAGGTCTTTTCAGTCTGGATGGGTAGGGAAAGTGTTCCTCATGCCCTCTGGGTGTCTTCCTTATTCACAGTTGAGAGCGCTGTTAGGGGAAATCTTTGTATGTTTTGATTTTTTTTTTTTTTTTTTTTTTGGTGGGGCAAGGTGGGTAGCAGGTAAAAGTGGCCTGTGATGAGGGCAGGAAAGATGAATAATTTGAGGAAGCATTTGGTTAGTGGACTTATTTACAGAGAAACAGTGGTGACAAAAACAATCAGAGTCATTTCCCTCAACTCTGGCTGTGAGAGGTCATTCTCTGCATGTCAGCTTCAAAGATCAGGCACTTGAATGAATCCGCTGGCTCTGCAGGCATTGGTCATATATTTAATGCCCTCCTCCTCACCATGGGTGAGAACAAGATGGAGAGGTATCCAGGTAAGCAGGGTAATGTGGTTTGCCCTCCCCAGATATTGTGATCCCAAGACAAAAGTGTCATTAATCAGTCTGGCATTTTCCATCCTCCATATGCTGGCATCCAGGAACCAAAACCCTTGAAGGCCTAGACACCCTATGACCTCTCACTCCAGTATTTTGCAGTCAGGTGGAGGCAGGCTCATGTCCAGGAAGAACTGCTGGCTGGTTTGGCCACAGCCCAGTTCATAACTTGTCTTGCCAAGTAGACAACCAGATTCCGCCTTCCTGAGCTTGAAGATGAGCTAAAACTATCAGGTGATTCAGATGACATGGAGGAGAAGATTGGAGTTGTCAAATCCCAGTGCAGAATGAGTTGCTTCAGTGGAGTAAAGCAATCAGCTAGTTGGTGGCCTGCCTTAAAAAGTACTAAATGTTTATCATCATACATTTGATCAAATGCTATAGGCCTAGCCAAGGCCCAAATTCATGGAAATACCAAGAATGTAATTTCAGTGAAATCTCTTTTCATTACCACTTTCTTTTGTTTATTTGTCGGCTGTTTTTTTTTTTTTTTTTTTTTTTTTTGACTCGGAGTCTTGCCGCTCTGTTTCCCAGGCTGGAGTACGGTGGTGCAATCTCGGCTCACTGCAACGCCTGCCTCCTGGTTTAAGTGATTCTCTTGCCTCAGCCTCCCAAGTAGCTGGGATTACAGGCACCCACCACGATGCCCTGCTACTTTTTGTATTCTTAGTAGAAACAGGTTTTCACCATGTTGCCCAGGCTGGTCTCAAACTCCTAACCTCCTCAGCTTCCCAAAATGCTGAGATTACAGGCATGAGCCTCCACACCCATCCTCATTACCACTTTCTTGAATTTTCAATCATCCTATCAAGCAGGATTTAGACCAACATCTTTGCATTTAATTAGGGCCATACCCTGTACACATGGATGATCCAGTAAGAGGGCCAGGGCTAGTGGGAAGCAATGTTCCCCATTTCTATATGTCAGATGTCACCAAACTTTATCTGTAAAGAGCCAAATAGTAAATATTTGGGTCTTTGTGAGCCATGTGGTATCTGTCACAAGTATAGTCGGCAAGTATATATCTGAGGTTCCCAAATCCATGGATTCAACCAACTTGAATCAAAGTATTTGGGAAAAAATGGACAGTTACAACTGACCTGAACATTTATAGATGTTTTTTCATTATTAGTCCTTGAACAATACAGTATAACAGCGTCTATGTAGCATTTACATTGTATTAGGAATTATAAGTAACCTGGAGATGATCTGAAGAACACAGGAAGATATGCATATGTATATGCACATACTATGCATTCCATATAAAGGAATTGAGCATCTGTGGATTTGGGTATCCAGGGGGAGTTCTGGAACAAATCGCCCACAGATACTGAGGGGTGACTGTACTCGGCTCTGCTATTATAGCATGAAAACAGCCACAGATAATACATACAAATGAATGTTTCAATAAAACTTTAGGTTCCAATAAAAATACTTTAAAACACTAAAAAGGCAGGCAATTTGAATTTATATAATTTTCATGTCATTTCTTTACCCTTTTGATTCATATTTTTAATAATTAAAAAAGATAAAAAGCTTTCTCAGCCCACAGGTCATACAAAAATTAGCAGCCAGCTAGATTTGGCCCAAGGCCGTAGTTTGCCAACCCCTCCCATCCACGCATGGAAGGCAGCCTTCCACTTCTGAGGAGACGGCAAACTGCTGTTCATCCTCTCGCCAACTACCCAGTAGTCTTTGCCTCCAAACTGAACAACAGGAAGATGCCATAGTTCTTAATTAAGCTGTTTTAAAAGCCCGTGTTCCAGGGGAAAAATAAAAAACAAAACACTTGTTATTTGCTGAATTGACAAACTCAGACAGCTATTCCACAAGAGTTGAAAGCCTTGAATCGAGGTGGCTGCCTAGTTACTGAGTGCTAACTCCATGGAGGCAAGTGTTAGGTCCCCAGGCTCAGAGCCTTCCCACCACAGCTCAGCCCATAATGATCGCCAAGCAGGAGTGTTCATTATCTCAGACTGATTGTCATTTCAGCCCTGCTCTTGCCATTGCTCTAAAAATGATCCTAAAGACTTGTGACCGTTTGAATCAATAGCAGTATCATCAGTAGAAAGCTTGACCCAGCACACTTCAAAATTAGCAGTCTTCTTGGTTCTATGACTCAATATCAGCAAGAAGAAAAAAAAAGAGGACTTCTTTTTTAATCATTCCCCCATTTAAATTAGCCAAAGAGTTTTATAAAAAAGTAGGGAAGTGGTTTTAATTCTTTCAAAGAATTTGCCAGTGAAAAGTAGATGATTTTTGGATAAGATAATGTTCAGGCCTCTGGGGGATCCCCAAAGCCTTTCACAATGTACTCTGGCAGGCTATGAATGGTACGGGATTCTGTATCAATATCAGACATTTATCGAGGCTGACAAGCAAAAGCCCTTGGCACAATTTAATTTCCACATAACCACTTTCCATTGTCCAGCTGCAGGCAAAGGAAATCAGCAATGAAAGTTTTGAAGTCTACTCCAGCACCCTCATTTCCTGTCTTTATTTCCTTTACTTTATAAATGTATTCTGTACCTGCTCTGTAGATCATGCTCTAGTTTCCCTTTCAGAACCATCTGGAAAAGGAGAGTTGACTTTACAAGGGCTGTGGATTAGGAGCCAAGCTTCACCCCATCCCAGGGAGACAAAAGGAGACAGGAGAAGTTACCTCCAGTAGGACCCCAGAAAGCAATCACTTTCCCTGTGTGCAGGCGGTTAACAGATGGGAGTCTGTGTTTGCAGCTACATTCTGTGTAATTCAGAAGACCTACACTGGCCACCTGTGATGGGCCAGGCCCTGTGCCAGCAACAGGGGACGGGAGGATGAACAAGGCACGTTTCCCTGACCACGAGAAGCTCTTGGCTGTGTGAGCTGTTGGGATGTCCCTTTGTGGTGTTGGAGGCTGTGCACACACAGTAAGGACTTTGGGGACAAAAGTTTGATGTTAGGGAGGCAGAGTAACCTGCTTTGGCAGCTACCTACCCTAAGTCAGATGGCAGGTATTATTCTGGGGGCCCTGACATGCATCACTGAGGGAGACTGAGGAGTTCTCCTGGGAAGTGGGCAATATTTCCCTGAATGTTCCTCAATTCTAATCAAGGCTGACTCAGTTCACGTAGAGATGAAAGCCAGTCACCCTGCCCACTGGGCGGAAATAACAGGGCTGACAGCTGAGATTCAGAGAAAATAAGTCAGAGGAAGTCCTTAAGTATAAACAGCAGCCAGGTGGACCTGGAAATTTAGAAAGGGTGATGCAGGTAGAGGGGCTAGCAAGAGCCAAGTCTCAAAAGGCACAGTCCAGACTGATGCAAGGGAGCCCTCCTGCAGCCCCATATCAGAGCTGAAGATCCAAGGAGGCCCACCTCCCTGAGACCTGTTGAGGGTTTACTCTTGGTGCAGAGGAGAAGGGGTTCCCTGGGCCAGCTGTGTCACCTGAGAACATGTGAGAAATGCATATTCTTGGGCTCCACCCCAGAGCTACTGAATGAACAGCTCTGGAGGCAGGCAGTCTGTGCGTTAATGAGCTCTTTGATATGCACTAAAGTTTGAGAATCACTGATGCAGAGGATGAGGAGATGTCTTGAGCTGGCATTGCAAGGAACTGTTAACTAACAAGGTGAAATCAATTACTAGTGTAGTGAGGGTGCTAAAGCAGACCACCCCATACCCCCGCACTGGGCCTCCTGGCTCCAGTTTATACTCGCTACAGCAGAGGTTTCAAGAAACCTTTGTCCTAGTCCCTATCCCTCACCTCCCCTCAGGCATGAGACAATTTCTGTCTGTCTGCCCCTTCTATCCTAGAGAGAGAGACTGCCCAGGAGAGGATGTCATGAGGTCACTCATCCCTAGGAAGACCACCTGCCAAGTTTCTGTAAGATGAGCAGCCTCTTTCAAGGGCCATATTTTGTGAAGAAACACTGAAACTGCAGCAGTGACCCTAGTCACTAAAAGAACTGCTTCCTACAGAGCCTGTATGCTGGTGGAGCCACCCAGGGCCCAGCAGAAAGTGGAAGGGGTCATTTAAGGACACTGCCAGGTTGCCGCAGCACTGCCCCATTTGTAATGAGACGGGCATGCTGCGTCACAATTCAAACACTGAATTGCTTGGGGAATGGATGGCCTTCCTCAGAATGGCAGTAACTCATTCTGGATGTTACTAAAAGTAGAAAACAAAAATCCAAAAACAAACCTATAGCCTCATCTACAATTAGAATCTGTCTGAGCCCTTTAATTTCTAATGTCTCCAAGGCTGCCAGGATTCACCAATTCCCCTTTCCCCTGAGGCCCAGCAACTACTGATTTACAGCTTAAACTCTGTGAAGGTCCACAGACCTTTGAAAGGAACTCACTGGTGCTTTGTCATTTGCACCTAACTGACTCCTCCTATGACGTAAAGTCTCCTCATATGATGGTTTTTGAGATAGGGAGTCAGAGGGCTAGGTCCCTGGGCTTTGGGGTAGAAGGACAGAGGAGGAACAGTCTAGGAAGTGGCTAGACATGTGGCTTAGGAAAACTAACACCTCTGTTGAGTTCTGAAGAACCCAGACTCTCCTGCTCAGCCTCAGAGGTCTTTCCAGAGTCCTCCTGAATGGCCCCAAGACACCCCTGTTTCTGGGGAGAAGAAAGGAGCTGGTACCTCTCAATCATTGAGGCAATGTCTTCCCAGAGGCAGGACCCCGCCCCCATGAGAATATGCAGTTGAATGATATGGTGCCTGACCAGGACCTTGGAAAACATGGCTGGGCAGGATTAGTATGGATCCCCAACTATTGTTGCCTCTGCTAATATGGCCACTTCCTCCAGGCAAGCAGACCACCAACTTAGCTACTGCAGCACCACGGGGGCCTAGCACTGCACCTGGCCCACAACGTGTGTGCCACGAATGAATTGAATTGAATCCCAGAGATCAACTGACCTCACTGAAGGGACTGGGTCTGAAAAATTAAGATGCCCCAATGAAGAAAGCCTCCTCCATTTTCCTTCTTGGTTTGTGAGTCAAGGACCTTTGTAAGATCAGATTGACAAAGAATGGAAGTGCGGTGAACATAGGATGCTCATGGGAGAAAACAGGAGCAGGGGTAGATGTGCCTGGGTGAGGCCTGCTTGCTCCACCCTCGAGGTCAGGGGCAGCATCCCGACTGAGAAAAATTCCTAATTTGTGAATGACCCAGCCCTGTACTGCTCTCCAGTTCCTTATATCAGATTTACTGCATAGGAGATTCATCAACATGAAGCTCAATTCCCAGTAGACTAATGAAAAGAGGGCAACAGATTTGAGAAGAGCCGAAATGCAGACAGTGTGTATTAATCACAGACAACAGAAACATGTTAACTTTAGTGTCTGTTTGCATTTATCTTGAAATGAAAATGCATCTCTGTTACCTGGACCCTTTTAACTGCGCATTTCAGAACAGAAATGGGACATATGTTGGGTCTTTTTCCCCAGCAGAAGAAGCTATCAGAGAAATGAGCCCACAGTTAGTCTGTGTGCAGAAACAATCAACCCACAGGTCTCAGCTGCAGACTCTAGCACCTCTGCAGAAACAGCAGGCAAAAGGATGAGGTGGCAGCATCTGCCCTTCAGAAGGATTCATAAGAGCCTCTGTTAGAGGGCCTTGCCTATGGGTAACGAATGTGAATATAATGTGCTCATCCATCCCTGTAGGCAAAAGGGCATTTAACCTGGCCAACATGGAACACCCACATCTGGAGCCCATGCCCACCCACCTCCAGCTCTTCTATGTGGCTGCAAGTGCCGCAGCTGATGTGTGGGATTCAGAAGAGGTCTGCCCATGTTCACTAGCCAAACTTCAAACTTCAGTTGGTTTGGAAGGGTGATGCAGGTAGAGGGGCATCTCAGATTTATAGCCAAAGGTTTTTTGTTTTTGTTTTTTTGGCAGGTTGTAGGGGGAGCAAGAAAGTTAGATTTGAAAGTCAGGGCTGATCACTCAAAAAGTAAGATAGGAGATATTGAGGGGAAAAAGTGACTCATAGTTGGAGAGGAAACAGGAGAGTGGGCAGGAATGACAGTGCCAGGAACAACCCCCTCCCCTAGAAAGCCAAAGCATTGCTCTGTATTTAAAGATGCATTCAACTTTGCAAAAACTTCTGGGTAAGTCTGGCCATGTGACCACAGAGGCAGTCAAATCAATTGCTTCCAAAGTCAGAGCTTTTTGAAGGTGATCAGTTCTTAATTGAACTAGTCATGATAATCAATCTACCTGGTTGCATCAAGCCTGACCTCAGTGGCTTCCAGAAACAGTTGTTGATGCCCTGAATTGGACAGGGTGGCTAGGAGGTGGAAGAAAATGAGTTGGTGAGTTTAGAAAAGAAATTGCATGTAGAAGTTGTTTGCTCTCAAAGAAATCTGTAGGTGTTCGAGCTGGGTTTGTTATGTTATTGGCAGGGACATGATAATGTTGGTAAGGAAGAAAGTCAGAATGATTTGCTATAGGGGTATTTGGAAAAACTGAGTACTAAATATAAATTAGCAGAGATGAGTAGGCTACAGACAGCCGATTATATATGTGTGTGTGTGTGTGCATATATGTGTGCATATATAGACACACATCCCAAAGCCATATAAATATCTATGATACAGAAACAAGAATAATGTCAAAAGTCAAAAGTCCCAACATATTTTAAATCCTTAGACACACTGGTTGGGATGTTACATGTTTTTCTCGTTGTTTGCCATTAGCTCTCAAAGCAGTGGGAACAGTGCCTGGCACATAATAGGAGTTTGGTAAACATTTGGAGATTGAAGACCCAGCTTGTCACTACTTCATAGAGACTCACTAGTATGACTATACCCCAAACTGAATGAGCCACAGAGAAACACATCAGCCGCAGTCCTTCTTAGCTGAGGAGAAGCCTCTGTGAATCCACAGATTCCAGGCACTATGCAGTTGGCCGCAGACACAGGGTCTGGCTCCCTAGTCGTGAGAATGAGGGAATGCTGCACACAGTAGGTTTGCGGGAACCCCCAACAGCTGTTTCTACAAGCTAAAGTAGCTTCTCTCTACCATCGTCTAAACCTGTACCTTGTATTTACTTTTGTCTACACCATTGCCCAAATACTTCATAAAATGCTGTTGAATTTGTCACCTCCAGGCATGACTTTGTAACCAAATGTAAAATTTCTGGGTTCAGCCAGTCTGAAGAGTCTAATAATTTCTTCTCTCAGCCTTTCCCTTCTCCCTTGTCGGGCGCTGCCACCACCCTTTAGAAGCCTTGGACACTGTTTATTCTTAGCTGCTCAACCTCAATGTGTGTGGGAAAGGCCTGAGAGAGAGAGGGGCACATTTTCTCTCGTCCAGAGTCTCTGTGGTGCCGACAGAGCAGAGAGAGGAGGGGGAGCAGCCTTCAATCACTGCTACTGCCTGGGCCATTACTGCCAGTCTAGCGGGTGTCGCCCGCAGTGGATGCTTTGCCTCCAGGGGTGGACCAGTGTGTACCTGACATGTATCAGACTTCTGAGCTCTTCAAGCTGCCTCAAAGAATGAATCTTTTTAGCCTAGGAGATGGGTTTATTTGATAAATATACTATTGTGTCTGAGTCTGAAACAATGCAAACTTCAGAGTATCTCATTAGGACCGTATGAATTTATAGAAAACTGAATCTAATTTCAGAAAAGCGCATCATCTTCTCAGTGAACAAGGTTGCCCAGCCACAGAGGATCAGAGAAAATGCCCTTTCCCCTTCCCACTCCTTTTCTCAGAATCCTCTCTCAGGCCTAATTGAGCTGTCACATCCAATTCAGACTGACACAGAGTGAGGGGCGCTGAGAGGGGCGCTATGTATATAAAGATATAGGAAGAAAATAAGAACCATCACGGGAATCTGTTGGGCTTCTCCCCATGACTGTGATCTTACCCACATTTGAACCACAAACTTTAAATTTATAACAATTACGATTCTTGCAGTTTTCAAGTAATTTGTTAAATGCCTATTCAACACAGACAGATTTTTATTTTCAGCTGTGGCTTGTAAATGCCTACAAACTGATTCATGTTGGTGGTCATTAGGACACTTTCTGTGAATTGGTGAATAAATATGATATTAGAATTTCACAGTAAAGATGACCTCTGAGAGTTTTATTGTCCACACTATTTGATAAGGTGAGATACCAAGAATTGCTCTGGCTGCATCAATATTCTTTGGGGCTCTGTCCTAAATCCATGCTTGGGGAAGAGAGGTGGGTGGGATGTGAAGCTGGTGACATGGCAAGCTGGCCCCTATCTGGCTTCAGTCAGGGAACTTTGTTACACCCAGAGCCAAATTTGGCAGCACAGTTATTGGAGACGGATGCAAAGATGATCCTTATAACACTCGGCATTTATTCAGCACTTACAAAGTGCTGCAGCTCTACATGTATGATCTTAACCCCCGAGGTAGGTTGTTCTTACTATTAAATGTGGAAAAGATGAGACTCAGAGGAGTCAGGGGCCCTGCATAAAGGCAACAGAATTGGACACTTCCCTGTCTCTTTCCTCCTGCCGCTTCTGCTCCCTCCTGCTCCTCCAGCAGACCCTAGTCCTGCTGGCCTGCCCTAACACCCAGATGCCCCCCCTGAGTCCCCCTTCCCCCAAAACCCACTGAAGATGGGCTCCCTTCACCATCCAGAGCTGGCAGAGATCCAGAGCACTTCCCTAGGATTCTGCAAGCTGTGGTTACTGCAGCCTTTGTCTTGTTTTGTATTGGGCCAACCCAAAAGTTAAGCCCTATCCTTTGCTTGAATTCCTCAGGGGAGTAGGGAAAATTCAAAGCATTCTTACAAGTGTTGGGGTCATGAGGAGAAGTCGCTTTGCATGGAATGTGGCAAACAGCTACATATGACAATTTACATTCTTGTTTTCAGACTCCTTTTAGCCAGCCTCCTCAGCCATGTGCCATCTCCCTGCCCTCTCCCTACCCCCTTCTCTCCCTGCTCTCATTTTTTCATCCTTCTCAGATGTTAAAAATAAGTCTCTTTCTCTCTTTGTCTTGCGCTGCCCCCCAGGCTGGAGTGCAGTGCAGAGTCTTGCTCTGTTGCCCAGGCTGGAGTACAGTGGGGCAATCTTGGCTCACTGCCAATCTCCACCACCTGGGTTCAAGCAATTCTCTTGCCTTAGCCTCCCAAGTAACTGAAACACAGGCACACACAACCATGTCCCACTATTTTTTTATTTTTTTATTTTTTGTAGAGACAGGGTTTCAACATGTTAGCCAGACTGTTCTCGAACTCCTGACCTCAGATGATCTGCCTCCCAAAGTGCTGGGATTACAAGCGTGAGCCACCATGCCCCGCCCCTTTTTCCCCTTTTTAAAGAGCAGCTTTATCATCTTTTCTTCATTGCCTGGTCTCCTGCTAAAAGCCATACTTATCCTCCTACTCCAAGGAGTTATCAAGATTTGTTCCCAAATATAGATCATTCACACCCTAATAGGATTTTTTTTCTTTCAAATGTTAAGATAGGATTTTGTTCTGCCAAATGTTTGCCAAGTGGAAGTGTATCTTTTCTTTTACATCTCAGAGAGTCAACAAGGAACCTAAGAAGGCTTCATCTGTTTGGTAATCCTTCCACACTACACTTGGTAACTTCCATGTGTGCATGTGGACAGGCACACATACACATACACACACACACACACACACACACACACACACACACCCCTATTTTTGGGCTTCCCTGGCACCCAATGTAGCCACCCACTACCACATGTGTGACAGTTCTCACCACTCTCTTACTCTCCAAACAAGTCTGACCTGTGCTCTTGCTGTCTGATAAGAGTCTTCATTGTCTTTCTGTGTCTGTTCCTTCTCATCTTTTAAATGCATCCCCTGATCCCTCAGCCACCATAGCAGCCTCCTCCCTGGCCTCTGCCTTCCAGGCTATGTGCCATGGGGCTGACATTGCTAAAGTTGCACTGGGAGGTGACAAGCCACAGAGACTTCAGTAACTTATACTCACAAAGCAAAGTCCCCGGTGCTGTAAGGATTCCCCAGTCCCTTGAGGGCCAATGAGCTATACTCTTTATCCTGAAAACATGCTAGTTTATCGGCTTGAATAAACCTGATAAAGGTACATGGCAAAAACTTCAAAACAACAACAAAATCCAATGTATAAACTATGGATGAAAGTCCTGGAGAGAGGTGTTATCACAATCATATCTGGGTTCATGCTCTAGTGGAGAGCTTGGGATATAGCAAGAACGCATGAAACTGAATTGAATTAAACCTCAAATCCAAGGTTCTCAATGACCTGGCCTCAACCTAAATTTTCTTCCTTTTATTGCCCACTTGCCCAGCAAAAATCCTAGGTTTTGGCATTCTCAAAGCACATGGCATTCCCAAAGCACATGGAGATTCCCTGTTTTTGTTCCTGCTACTGCTAACACCTGAAATGTCATCCCTCCTTACGTATCTTAGACAATGGAAATCTTACCCCTAACTGGAGGTCCCACTCCCGAGCTGCAGAGCTATTTATCAGTATGGCCATGCTTGACTTCCCCAGTGGAATGTAATACTGCCATTCTATGCACACCCGGACCACATCCTGTCTTATTAAGTTCCTTCTAGTGGAAGGTGGGAAGAACAGCATGTGGGACTTGTTACTCTAAACCAAACTCAAACACCTGCAGAGGTAAGGCAGGTAGCATAAGTGAATACAGCTGCCCGAGTGAGACTGGGATGAAAATTAAAATGCACACCAACTGTTGCAGTACAAGGATGGCTGCTCGTTGTTGCCAGATCTTCTAATTCTCTTTTGAGATATCCAAATTTCTCTTTTAAGAGAAGAAACACAGGTTTTCCATGTGACATCTACCAGATTTTAAATTGGGGCAGCAAATTCACTTTTTAAGCATATGTTATGGGGGGCAAATAAAATAAGTTTTCAGGCTGAATTTAATACAAGGACAACTGGGTTGCAGCCTCTATTCTAAACTATATTAGTGTGGACCAGGTGAGTTGGACTCATCAGAAAAACAAAATTGTCCCAACACCCTCAATTTAGGTGACTGGTCTTGTAGGTGACAGGTACTCATAAATGCCACTGCAAGAGTGGCAGAAGGACAGAGACAGTAAAAGCGAAGATTAGCCATGTGAGTGTCTGGGCAGCAGTGTGCTGGGGAATGGTGAACAACCACCTTTGGGGTTGCGGCCGGTCTAATTTGTAATATGTGCTGATTACCATGGTGCAAGTACCACTGTGGCTGGTTTTAAGCCACCAACATGATGTCACTGAGCTCAGAGTTGGGAAGAGATGCTACCATTGGCTTTTGGGAGCCATCTCTGGCACACATGACTAAAGATCAGATATCAAGAAAAACACAAGAGCACCTTTAACCATGAACAAATAAAGCTGCCACCTTCCTAATGACTCAGTCTAGTATTGGGAAGGCTCATGACCTACATGAAAACCTCCTTCACACAATCAGGGATAAAATGCTATCACTTTCATCTGTGACTATAATCCCTGTTAATGGCCAGAGGACTTGAGTGGGGGCTGCTGGTTACATTAAGTGAGGCTTAGTCATTGAAGACTGAAGACTGAATGCCTGGGGAGGAGGAACCAGAATGGAGACACAGCGTATTCTAAATTGGCTATGCTCAGAAAGACAGAGGAACCTGGAGGGCAGAAAGGACAAGTAATTCAGATACCTTTCTTCCATCACAAACCATGTGGCCACCTCCTGAGTTTTCATGACTGCGAAGTGAGACACAGCCAGGGTACAGGGAGCAGGAAGAGGAGAGGAAAACAACACTGGGAGAAATGAAATGAGGCCTTGAATGGAGGAGCGCTGACAATACCAGGTCCCCACCTAGAAGAACAGAGAATTTTCCAAAGAGGCCCAACCTCCAGTGCTCCCATTTGCTCTCCTTTTGGAATTTTTAGTGAATTTTATAATCTTCTCTAGACTTAGTACTGCCCTGTCTAAAGCAAAGCTGGAAATGTGGGTAGCTTGGTGGAGGGCAGAGCCCCTCTAGAAACTGCCTGTGTTCATCCGGATTCTTTGGTGGCAAGTTAGACAAGTCTAAGCAAAACAGTATGTATGTTTGTCTCTCATAACCCAAAAGTGAGAAGAGCTGAGGTGTGGCTGGGCCTCACTGATGATGAAAAGCTTAGGACTTGCTAAGATGATTGATATCTAAATCATTACATATATCTAATCATTGTATATAACTATAATTCTCTATTTACATATGTGCTTCCATATAATTAGGGCTTACTTAGGTTATTAAGATATATCGATACTTATATTTTATATAACTATACAAAATATGTTCAATATTGTATATATTGTTATAATACATTATAGAATTATATGCTTATAAATTATGATATATATTAACCTTAGCAAGACCTAATCATTCTATATTATATAAACATATAATTATATAGTATAGATTATGCAATTTAATTACATATTATATAATTAAATCACAGAATTATATATTAATTACATTATATGTCATTTATGTGTTAATATCAACATATTATTATGCTATATCATTTATTAGGCCCTAAGTAGGTGCCCCTCATGTCTGCCCTTTTTGCATATTGGCAGGTTTTTTTCTCACCAATTTTTATTACTAGGTGGGTTCTGTAGCTGATGGCAGCTCTCAAGCTCACATTTTATCTGCTGTAACCTCAGAAAGGAAAGTGTGCATCTCGGTACTGGCTCAAAGTCTTGGTTAAACACTGCTTTGGCTCTCCCTGTGTCATATACAGCCCCTGGGACTGTGTATGGGACTAGGGAACATGTGTAGCCTCCCTCTGTCCTGGCCACCAAGAACAAATATCTGGGAGACAGATGGTGCAAGGGCGAGGGGAGGAGCATTCCTCAAAGACGACACAGAGAACCTTCACTGAAGAAGGAACAGGGCTGGGCAGACACAACAAGTAATTCCCCACTGACTGCTTCAGGTCAAGAAGTCCTTGAGCCTGATTTTACTAATGTGCATTGCATGAAGCACATAGGATGTTCCTCAATTGATGCTATTTTTTAAGGTTCCCTGAAAAATGTTCTGTTCTTGAAAACAATGGGTGAAATTGCTTTTGTTTATTCTAGGAATTTTCATGATCTTACTGCAA